TCGATTGATACTCGAGTCTGACGCACGAGGCAAATGATTATATGATCTGGGATGAACTGTTTAACAGTTATACGTATACATAGCTTTTTAGAGCGGTGAGAAATTATGATAGGAAAATGTCAATGGTTGGTTAAAAGCATAATGGAAACAATGTGTTGTTCCAAAACTAGTGTCAAACATCAAGGGTCAGTGACGTCATCTGATCATCGAGAAATTACTACTAGACACAAATCCATTGGCAATGCGAACAAGTAACACAGCAAATAACAACTAACATTTTTGATAACCACGCTGAGCATGGTTTCTTTCTGGCCCACTGCTCTAGCGGACCATGTTTTCTTCTAAGAAGCTACGTGACGAAACATGATTGCATAGTCCTTTTTGCCTACATATTACGCCAGGACATTAGGCAAAAAAAGGAAACGCTTTTGGAATAACAAAAAGAAACAACATGGCACCAGGCCATCCAAGTCATAAGCAGCACTTGCTACAACCGTCAGTGAAGGGTATTATCCAGAAAACACAAACATTATGCAGCGCCTTCAATACCAATGCCGTCAAAGATCAACATCAACGAAACAGTTTGAACGTTACCATGAAAGAGAAAAAGAAGCAGCACTAATCGCCAGGATGATACGAGACAGGAGACAGGAGATAGGAGATAGGGAGCAAAGCAACAGGAACCGACGACTAGGAAAGACATGTCAACTGTGCGTCACGCAGCAGCTATTGCTGCTGGTGCTGCTTTCGCTTGTGCCTCTGGAGGTTGTCCTTGCGCGAGAAGCCATCAAGGTTGGTGCAGTCGGGATGTTCGCAGCGAAAGGTGTCCATGATGGACGAGGGGTCTCGGTGTTGAGGCTTGTGCCTGCGAAGGTCCTTTGGGTACATGAAGCCCTTGCCGCAAGTTGGGCACACGTGAGGCCGCTCATTGCAGTGGGATGTCTTCTGGTGACGACTAGCGACGGTCAGTTACGCTGATTTGCATACTCTCGAGACTAGACTCACTTGAGATCGCACTGACGATCGAATACTCCAGTGCATTCCGGCTCGTTGCAGATGAAGCCACCTTCGCGAGGAGGTTGCCGCCTGCTTGAGCGCTTCCTAGACTTGGTCTGGCGCGACGAAGAGCGGTCGCCCGGAGTGTATATACCATTGATGTACGCCTGGACAGTAATCGCCTGCACAGTTGTCTCGTTCGCATCAATGCGCTGGATGTACTCGTTCGAAACTGGCCTGGGGTCGCCGGTGACGTAGTTCCAGACCGGTGTCAAGTTCACTTCCGTCTCGTGCGTATCCGGCGGCGGCATGTTCGTGGGAGCGTGGTGTTCGGGCGCTGCTACGTAATTGTACGGCATCTGCGGCTGGTGAGGTTAGGAGGGAGTTGCACACATGCGGGTGCAGGTCTTACCAGAGCCAGAATGCACTGGCAGAAGTCGAACTGCATGCCGGCGCAAAAGTAGCATACGGAAAGCTCGTCTACTGGGTATGTCAAGTCCAATGGACTGATAGGCGGTGTTAGATCCATGATTGGGCCTGAAGCTGCCGCTGGGGGGAGGAGAACAGTGAGCAGCACTGTAAACAGCAGCAATGTGTACATGCTCTGGTGTGAATGTGGATGCCTAAGGAAGAGACTTGGTTATGGTGGAGTATGCGAGGACGGCAGAGGCAGTGAAGAGGACAATGAGGGTTGCAAGACTGTATGGTCAGAGAATACCAACAATGGGGAGAAAAGTGTAGGAGGAGAGGAAGGACTGCCCAGAGAAAAAAGGGCGTGAGATCTGGGTTCGCGGGTGCATGCCAGTGGCAGAGGACTGGGGGAGGCCGGCTGCCTGAGGAGCCACAGGTCACGGGGAGCTGTGGCTATGTTGATGATGTAGGTGCCGACCATTTTAGTGACTTTGGGAGCTCTGCAGCTATAGTTTTGTCAGTTGGACATGTTAGTATTGATGAAAGTGCAACTTTGATGCAATAAAGTGTGTGATTGTGGTGGTTGCGTGTCGAAGGAAAATGCGGCGGCACCGCGCAGCGATCAGGGATGCGTAACCCTCCACTGTCTTGACACCATGCCACTTCGAGATCTGGAGAGGGGTTATGCGGCTCAACTCGGCACGTGACTTACTTACATCGCCAGTGTTTGAAGATCTTGTCAATTCTTTTCCTATTATGTGTCTCTTTCAGTGTTGCGTAATCTGGATGCCTCCAAGAATTAGTTGCTTGGTAGTTGGCGAAGAAATGGTTTTGCCATCTCGTCTCACGTGCCAACGCGTCCCGAAACCTTCACCCTGCCTTTGTTATCTTTTCACCAAAAGCCCCCACGCTTTACGAATTACAATAGGCTTCGTCATCGCGATTGCGTGTCTAATTCTTTTCAGCTCGTTTTTTTGATGACGCTGCACTGAGTTTTGTTGATTTGCAGAGGAGGTTTCTGGTGCAAAAGTATGCAATCTAGACAAATAGTCTCATGTATGAAATGACAACTGCCGTGGAATTGAAATATTCCACTTGCCTCACGTTCAGGCTAGGAATTCGTGCTGGATATATATTGTAACTTCTCTACAGGCCGCCTATGGCACACCAGCGTCACGAGTCATCCTTACATTGAGGCAACCGCTTCAGCCGTACCATTCAGGTGGATACTTTATGAGGCAAACCTCACGCTTGTTGTTTTTTTGGCTTCGATAGCGAGCATTTCAGGTTTGACTCACAGCTCCGGTGCACTGGCTCGTCAGGACGCTTCAGGATTTACATTGTGAGCGGCCTCCTAGGCATCCATGAACAAGGGTACCAGCCAAGCTCCACAATGCACCACGTTCCGCCCACTCCGACTTGCCAGCGCTTAATTTCGATAGATACCAGAGCTAATAAATTCAGTGTAATAGGTTGGGATGACAAGGGTCACGCTGTGTGTCAGAAATCTGGTTGTGTACTGAATCTGCCCCGCATCGACTTGCGTAGTACGTAGCCTAAAGTCCTTGACCAAACTGCAGCCTTAGCAATCAGCAAACATACCACTAACAACACAGCGTAGAAGCCATGCTATCAGCCCGGGGGCGTCAGTATGCAGCCTTGGATTTGGCGGCTGGCTACACCAAAGTCCGTGGCCCTTTGTACAGCAAAGGCACCTATCCAGATGGCCTAGTTTCTTTTAAAAATGCCGAAAATGTTAGTGAGCGTCATGTCGAATACTACGAGGTCGTGAGAGAGATGGAGAGTGCTGATGTATGCAACAGTTTCTCATGCATGATGAAGCGCTTGACTATATTAAGACAAAGGTCAGCCTTCACGGACACAATGGTGTATGGTACCTGAGTGATAATTTAGTGCATACCGTCTCTCGAGCCAGCGACTCTGACGTATCATGATGGCCCATTCGGTTCCAAGCGTTTGAGAGCCGCAATGGCTTCCTTCATCAACAAGCGCTTCTCACCAGCCTTAGCCGTAGCCATTGAGCATATTTCATTCGTCAGTGGCGTGACGGCATTAAATGACATACTGTCACTGTGCATGACCGATGGGGAGAATGATGCTTTGCTTCTAGGCATGCCGGTTTATGGGTCCTTCGCTCCAGATCTGCAGAGCATGTCAAGGTGCGCTGGGTTCCTCTTGGAATAAGATTTGAGACAGCACGACTAACATAGCTCGCAGTTGCAAGCTGGTTTATGCCTCGTTTGGAGACGTTGATCAGTTCAGTATCGATTCAGTCGAGTGTTATGAGCGTGCTCTGCTACAAGCCGAGCAGAGTGGTATCAAAGTGCGAGCGCTTATTTTAGCCAACCCGCACAATCCTCTTGGTGCGTGTGCGGTCGTTTGGTGTCAAAGCATAACAGGCTAACGGTTCAGGGCAATGTTATTCTCCAGATGCGTTGAAGGCAATCTTGAGTTTCTGTAACAAGCACAAGATACACCTTATCAGTGATGAGATCTACGCCTACTCTGTGTATCACACAGATGCCTCGAGCCCAGGATTTACATCTGTACTCTCGCTAGATACGGTTGGTATCATCGATAATAACCTCGTTCACGTAATGTATGGAATGGCCAAGGTAGGAATTCGACATGCCACTTTGCACCACTGACCCCTGACAAACCATTGACAGGACTTTGCTGCTGCTGGCCTAAGATTGGGATGCTTGATCACCAGGAACACTGAGCTAGGACAGGCTGTACAGTCTTTATCGTAGGTTACCATCATTCTTGGCTAGCGATGACTGACCATTGGCAGTCGATTTCACGGCGCGTCACCAATGACCGACGCGATCGCTACATGCATACTCGAGGATGAGGAGTGGCATCTGCAATTCTTCAATAAGAGTACGCATATCCTGCGAGAACACCGAAAGATTGCGGCAGAAGCACTGGATAGTGCTGGTATTCCCTATGAGAGGAAAGCGTAAGTGTTGGGCGTTTTATGGCCTTTCCTTATCTAGAGCTGACGCCTTGGGTAGAAACGCTGGATTCTTCCTCTGGATCGACCTGTCCGCGTGCCTACACAGCGCGACATGGGAGGCTGAAGACGACCTCAAGGATAGGCTCTACGATTTTGGGTTGGAAATGGCAGCTGCGCGCGGATATCATGGGGAAATGCCAGGGCATTTTAGATTCCTATTTTCAGTGGATAAAGATACCGTAGAAGAAGCAGCAAGGAGGATTGTCGAGTTCTACAAAAACAATCAGGTGGGTCGTGCGTAACCCGTCGGGTGCGTAGTATACAATGAAGTCATGGCGCAGTAGATCGAACTCTCCTCCCAAACTTTGTTCTTTATTTTCTAGAAAAAAGCGTGAGAGGCCGATCTTTTCGGATACATGCCGACAGAACGCTCGTGACCACGCGACAGGGCGGTACGCGACGGGCGGATCCCTGTGCTCGATCGTTCCGTGCGATCGGAAATCAACAGGGGCCTTGCGTCATCATTCCTGCCACGGCACTTTCACTTTTGCAAACAAACAACACAACACTTTAATCCTGATATCGCCATAGTTTGATATCTGCGGGCATAGACATGCCGCCCATAATTTCGCGAAAGCGCTTGCACTCTACCTCGCCCGTCCTAGAATCGCCACCAAAACGTGCACGTACTACCCGCAAACCCCCAGCATCCGCGCGCAGAGGCAAAGTGTCGGTCTTCCAGACTTTGGATGCGCCACCAAAGACCAAGCGCACGCTTTCGCAAACAAAGGCTCTATTGGAGGAAGGAGAAGAAGACGGCGACAGTGAATCATCAGAGTCAGAGACTACCGAAGATGAATTTGAGGATGTACCATTGCATGGGGTAAACAAAGACAAAGGGAAGGTTAAGGCACAGCCAGATGAAGACAGCGACGAAAGTGAAGATGGTGACTGGGAAGATGCGCTTGGTACGCATCATTACACAAAGCCAGACAATGGCCCTGCGCCCATCATCACTGGAGATATTGCGTTGACGCTGTCCGCAGCGCCCAAAACTGCGTTCGAAACCAAGCCAGATGGAAAAAAGGGCCCATCAAAAGTCCAGAGACAGATACGGACCATCACTCATTGTATGCATGTACAATTCTTGATGTTCCATAACTTGATGAGAAACACATGGATCCAGGACAAGGAAGTCCAAAAGATTCTGGTTCAAGCCATGTCCCCTGGGTGTTGGCGGGAATTAGAGAAGTACTGGAACGACGCAGGAATACGAGACGGATTCAGCCGGGTAGTGGTGCAGAAACCACCCAGTCCAAAAAAGAAAGAGCCAGAAGCTACCAAAGGGAAATGGAAAGAGAGTGGCAAGGCGGGTGTCAAGGTATATGAGAGCCCGCAAAAGCGAATGGGCGTCCGCAATAAAGCTAAGAGCAAGGGGGAGAAACCTTCCGAACGTGACAAGAGGACCCGCGACTGGGGTGCAGCAGCCGAACCGCTCGAGCCTAACTCTCCGAACCTGTCCGCCGGTGACCCTTTGATCAGGCTTCTCAAATATCTCTCTGCTTACTGGAAGTCCAAGTTTCAAATCACAGCCCCAAGCTTACGAAAGCGTGGCTACCTATCGCCATCAGTATTGGAGGCCGAAATCAAGGCTTGGAAAGACGATCCTAATCACCCCGAAACTTTTGGCGAACGTGTGGAAGACATTACTGCTTTCAGGGAATGCGCAAAACAGTGCCAAGGCAGTAGAGATATTGGAGAACAGCTCTTCACTGCCCTAATCCGAGGACTAGGTATTGAGGCGCGAATGGTGGTCAGCCTGCAGCCTGCAGGTTTTGGGTGGAGTCAGAGTGAAGAAGGTAAACCAAAGAACCTTGAAAAGTTGAATAACTCGAAGCCCGCCGATAATCAAAGTACGGAAAAAGAAACTCCAACCAAAAGTAAGGCTAAGAAACCCGCTACTGCAAAGAAGACGGGTGGATTGATCGATGTCAGCATGGATGACAGTAGCGACTTGAGTAGTGTCATATCTATATCTTCGGACTCTGAGGATAACAGACCACAAAAGAGATCACCGAAAGCGCGCAATTACGGTGAAGAGCTACCATACCCTACCTACTGGACAGAAGCTATTTCACACTTGACACACACGCCCATATCAGTATCCCCACTTCCTCGTACCATTATCGCAAGCGCTGCTTCTCCAGAAAAGCTTATGGATTTCTATGCTCGTGGCGCAGCGGCTGACAAGGCGAAACAAATCTTGGCCTATTTGATCGCTTTCTCTTCCGACGGCAGTGCAAAGGATGTCACTACACGATACCTACCCAAACATCAATGGCCTGGTAGAACGAAAGGTTTCCGCATGCCTGTGGAGAAGGTACCGATTCACAACAAACATGGGAAAGTCAAACGATGGGAAGAGTGGGATTGGTGTAAATCGTTGATGCGACCTTATGCACGATCTCACGATAAACGCCAGCCTTGGGACGAAGTGGAAGACGAGGGTGACCTCGTACCTGCACAAGTAGAAAGAAAGAAGGGCATGGACGAAGAAGGTGGCAAGGAGACGCTACAGGGGTACAAAAACTCCACCGAATATGTACTGGAGCGTCATTTACGACGAGAGGAAGCTCTCAGACGCGGTGCGAAGATTGTCAGGTTCTTTGTCACGGGCAAGGGTGACAATGAAAAGTCGGAACCGGTCTATCGCCGCAAAGACATTGTGTTGTGCAAGACACAAGAATCGTGGCACAAAGAGGGGCGAGAAGTGCTGGAAGGTCAGCAACCGCTCAAGCTCGTGCCTATGCGCGCCGTCACCGTTACTCGAAAACGTGAGATTGAGGAGCGCGAACGCATCGAAGGTGGAAAAGTGAAGCAGGGCCTATACTCTAAGGAACAGACCGATTGGATCATTCCCGATCCCATTGTTGACGGCAAGATTCCACGTAACGCATTTGGGAACATCGATGTATACGTTCCAACAATGGTTCCCAAAGGGGCTGTTCACGTGCCTCTCAAGGGCACCGCGCGAATATGCCGCAAGCTCAACATCGACTACGCAGAAGCATGTACGGGGTTTGAGTTTGGTAAACAGCGCGCTGTACCGGTAATCACAGGTGTGGTGGTTGCAGCAGAGCATGAAGACATGCTTATAGATGCTTGGGAAGCCGAAGAGGCAGAGAAGCGAAGAAAAGAAAGGGAGAAGAGGGAGAAGTTTTTGCTAGGGCTTTGGAGGAGGTTTGCGTCTGGACTGAGGATCGTGAATAGAATGAGGGAGGAGTATGGGGAGGATGTGGAGTTGCCGGTCAAAGAAAAGGTATTGCCACCGAAGGATGAAAAGGAAAAGCCTGAGACGAGAAAGTCACGGTGGGAAGTTTTCGAGGCTCAGACTGACTTTGAGGGGGGTTTTGTGCGAGAAGATGTGCAACTCTCTGGTGGTGGCGGTTTTATGCCGGACAAGGCGCATCAGACAGCCGAGGGTGACCTGGACATGGCAGGCGGTTTCCTGCCCGCGAGCCAGGAAGAGGATGAAGAGCTGATAATTGACCATGGTGAAAAGAAAGACCTGCGGGCGCCCGTCATGGAGACTGCACATCGCACACCCATCTCACTTACTCAAGCGTTACAACGACCCCCGAGCGAGCCAAGCGAAGACCCGGATCACAATGAAGCAATGAGTATCGACCAAGACACAGAAGACGAGCACGAGGGAAACCGGAATGACGAGGACGAAGAATACGAGCATTCAAAACTTGAATCGGATCACGGAAAGTCTACAGCTGCCATATCAGGTGGTCGTGGTCGTGGTCGTGGCCGTCCTAGAGGACGTGGCACCAAGGCTCCGGCTCGCTTAACTCGTAAACCCAATTCAACGGGGAATGAATTGTCCAATGGAGCACTTTCCGATGCGCCCTCAAACCCACCATCACCTCCACCGTCTAGGAGGACAGCGCCAAGGCGCAAGGCAGCCAGAAAAAGCGATGCGCACGTCCGGAGCCACTTTTTTGCAGAGGCAAGCGAGGGCGAGACAGATTTGACAGACATGACGGATCGAGCCTCGCCAAAGAAGAAGTCGACGAGAGGGCGCGGAGCGGGAAGGGGTAAAGACAAGGGCAGAGGCAAAGCGGGGAAAGCCAAGTAAATATCGTACCAGTGGATTTCCGAAATGCATTTGCACGTTTGACAGCACCAGGCGAGCTGAGCGAGGTACTTGGGTACTGACCAATAGTGCAGCGTGGTGGGGGAGACTATTATGATACTGTTATGATACTAGAGACCAAAAGAAAAGTATTGATTCCAATCCGGAAGATAATGAGACGAGAGAGTCTGCCACCGTTCTCCACATGTCACAAACAGGACGTCTTCGGTATAGTCGGCAGCGCTCTACTATAAGTAGGTATCCCAGGCGCATGTGGAGCCGCACAACCGAGGCCAGCCTGCCAGGCACGTCACGAGTCGGGCGTGTCTATTTGTAGGCGGGCCCAGTCTTCCAAGGCTGCTTGGCAAGCCTTCCGATTTACTTGGCACGTAACAGGGCGCCCGTTTTCCCCTTATTATTACATGAGCCGGCAGCGAACGGCACGGTTGACGGCGGAGAGGGTGGCTTTTTTGGGTTCCAACGTGTGCGCGCCTTTGTTGACGGGGCGTGCGTGCTGTTGGGTCAAGAGTACAAGAAGCAAGACGCTGGCTTGGGGCGGAATATGGCACTACGGCCACATGGCTGGAGAATTTCCGCCCCTGTGATTGGAAAAACTCGACTAACGAATTCTACTATCAAGTGGAGAGCAAATGGCCCGGCGGCTTTTCGAATCTCCCGCACGTCTTCGCTGGGGGGGGCGCCGCATCGTATTCGTTCCTTCGCGGTCTTCTTGGCTCAATACATGCATGGCGGATCTCCGACCTAGCTCGCGCTCGTTAGCTTCCTAAATCGTCATGCCTCCCCGTCCCACAGCATGATTGTTGATACCCCCAGTTATAAGTATTTGCTGCCGTCGGCGCCTTTTATTTTCCCACACGCTTTCGCTGCTCGTCATCTGGTTTGCCATTGTTCGTCTTGGCATACTGTCCACTCGCTTTCCTAATCATCTCTATCGCTTAATCTACTTAGTATCATAATATTTCTTACCATCATGCGCTTCTCCGACGTTGCTGCTGCCGCCTTGGTGGCTCCCCTTGTCGCCGCTCATGGAGGAGGAATCCCAGGTGCCCCCAAGCTTTTTGGTCTTCCTCGCCACCTTCAGGACGATTTCAAGGCCCCTGTTGCTGCCCGCACTCTTCGTCACTCTTCTGAGCCCCGACATGGGCTTTTGGAGACTCGTCAAGGCGGCCAGAACGGTCGCTGTGGACCTGGATTTGGAAACGCAAAGTGTGCTGCCGGCTACTGCTGCTCTGGTGCTGTACGTTGTTGACTACGAAATCACGCCAAGGAGCGATAACACTGACAATTTCAAGGGATATTGCGGAACCAGCAAGGACCATTGCTCAGCACCTGATTGCTTGATCGATTTCGGCCCGGCTTGCGATGCCAACAAGACTCCTAGTGGTGCCTCCACTCGCAACGATGCTCGTCCTCAGAAGGGCAATGTCCCTTACGGCGGCGAGGGCATCTATGTCTGCCAGAAGCCAGGAACTGTCGCCATTACTTATGACGATGGGTAAGTAATTGTCCAAGAAACCTCCAGGCATCCATGTCAGTAAACTGACCCGTCTAGTCCTTACATTTACACGGACCGTGTTCTAGACCAATTTAACCAATACGGATTCAAGGCCACCTTCTTCGTTACCGGTATTAACATCGGAAAGGGAGCTATTGACACTACTGCTCAGTGGGCCAATGTCATCAAGCGCATGGTTGCTGAGGGCCACCAGGTCGCATCTCACACCTGGTCGCACCAAGATCTTAGCGTCATCACTGAGGAGCAGCGCTATGATCAGATGGTCAAGAACGAAATGGCCATCAGGAACATCATCGGAAAGTACCCAACGTACATGCGTCCCCCTTACTCATCCTGCAATGCCGCATGCCAGGGTGTGATGAAGAAGCTCGGATACGTCGTCAGCTACTTTGACTTGGATACCGTACGTGAAACCTTTTTATCTTTTCCTTTTTTCTTGTATGAGTTTCACATACTAACACATCTCAAAGGATGATTACAACCAACTCAAGAACATCCAAGTCGCCAAGGATAACTTCAAGCGCATCCTCGACTCCACTGCCGGTGGCCCAGCCACTGGTGACCGTCTGGCCATTGCCCACGACATCCACGAGCAGACGGCACTCAACCTCACTGGCTACATGCTCGAGTACCTCAAGTCCAAGGGCTACCGCGGCGTCACCATGGGCGAGTGCATGGGCGAGCCCGAAGCAAACTGGTACCGCAAGACCGGCGAAGTCGTAACCCCCCCTTCCAACGGCGGCGGCAACACCGGCACCCCCATCTCTACCGACGGCCAATGTGGCTCTGGCAAGGGAACCTGTGTCGGCTCTCCCTTTGGCAACTGCTGCTCCTCCTTCGGATGGTGCGGTAGCACCGACGGCCACTGCAAGACTGGCTGCAACTCTGCTTTTGGCACTTGCACCGGCGGCAGCACCTCGCCCTCCAAGCCTGTCTCTACCGACGGCCAGTGCGGAGCAAAGGCTGCCGGTGCTACCTGCCTAGGCTCGCCGTTTGGTAACTGCTGCTCGCAGTTTGGATGGTGCGGTAGCTCCCAGGACCACTGCGGTTCTGGCTGTGACAAGACATCTGGTACTTGCAACTAAATAGGGAAGCGGAACAGATGCATATGTTTTGTCGTTTCTCTCCCTTGTTTTTTTTGAATACCACGATCTACGCTTGAGCGCCTCGTTGCTGTAATTGTTGCCATATATCAAGAAATAAAAGTATGCTTATCTTGCCCTTATCTCTCTCTCTATGTGTGTGTATCTGTATTCTGGGCTTTTTTTTTGTTTGTTGAGTCGTGATGTTGCTTTTTGAACAGTCATGCACGATCCTTTTTTTCATGAACGGCTATTGTTGATGCGGTATGTACGGGGGCAGCCTTGTTGTTAAATGCAAAGTAAGTCCGTGTAAGATTAGTCGGATCATTCGTGGCTTGTTTGATGTGGAAATATTTAAGTGCAAAAGAATGAAGAATTAGTCCGTTTCTCTGGCACTTCGACACAACATGTTCTCTGCTTCACTATGCTTTCTTAAAAACTTCCTTTTAAAAGCAAATGTAACTTTTGACTCATTCCATACTTGCCATAACAATGGGTACACTTCTCATTTTTCCATTTGGCGTGACCCTTCGTATTTTAGCTTTCATCACTTCTTAGAAACAGAGGGGTTTTTTTTCCTCCGTATTTTTAGGGCTATTGGGTAAAAGTTTACTTTACGAAATACTGTTCCAAGCATGTTGTCTTGATAATGTGATGATGTATTGAGATATATACTATCCCCGATCTGGCGTACATGTGGCACAGCATGATCCACGTGCCCCTACTTATCTTGTCAGTAGCAGCGGGGTTACTGGCAATCGCATCTCACATTACTCGAATAACATAATTCCCTCTTGCAACGTAGTAAGTTTCCGCGCAAACATTCATATTACAAGTCATACATACTTAGAATGCCTCACTCCCAACAGCAGGCATGAGTGCAAACGAGTCCAAAAATGAAGCCAGTGGCACGAAGCCGCCCAGTCACTCCAGGCCAAACCATCGGAAGGTCATTGAGGAGCTTCTTGAAGTTGTGCGGAAGCAACAAGCCATCATGGAACATCTTTCTAGAGACCTAAACTTCACCCGCTCCCAATTCGAGACAAACTTAAACTACGACAATGGCGATGGAGACTATACAGCTGACACGGACTATGAAACAATAGACGTCAGGGCGCATGGTATGGATGTTGGCAACGGGATAATCAGTGTGGATACAGCAACAGATTATATAGCGTACAAGGTTGCTATGAATAACCATGAGGCAGGATTTAAGAAGACGAAGGACCAACTGGAGAAGATATGGGAGGCGGTCGATTTGGTCCAACGCGAGGATGAGTTTTCAGAAAAGTTCATTGGCACTCCCTGATTGGCTGGCAGATGGTTTGGAGAAGGGGCGAAAGGCTGCAGCACAAGAGTAACCAAGAGAACTCTAGAGTTCATCTTTACTTCGATATATTCGCACTATGAAGCGAAGTGTACATCACGTGGCTGCCTATGCGTCATGCAGCTATTCAACGGCCCGTCAGCGGCGCCGTTCCCTCCCGCCGCTTACCCAGCCACCACTTACGGTCAAGTAACGACTCAGCTGCAATGGCGGTGAAAATGGTATGTACATGGCTTTCTTTCCAAAATGAGTGATGGACCCGAACGAATCTTGTAGTACGATGACTTCCTTGAACTTGAATGCCCTTGTGATCGAATTGGCATCACCCTATGCTAGGCGAATGATGGTACGTGCAGATGAAAAGGTATATATACGAGCCATCTAACCCCTAATCAAAAGAATCCGGAAATAGATCTATCTATCAGCCACCTAACATCTAACCCTCCATTTCTACTCCCGCCGCCAGCAACTCCGTCTAACGCGCCGGCTCCGGATACTCTTTTACAGCAGCCACAAGTAATCTCTGAAGGTTACATTCCGGTAATATACTCTGCGAATAACTAGCACTAGGAAACCCAGCTTGACGCATAAACTTCATCCATACTTCTGGGGGTTGAATGGCATGATCGGCATCGTTCGCCAGCCACCAGCCATCCAACAGTCCAAAGACGACTTCGTGCCAGTCGATCTTGGTGGTGATTTCCGAAAGCACCAAAACGCCGTGGGCGTTTAGCATTTCTTTGATGCGACGGCAGGTTGCAGCTCTGTTGGATGTTGCGTGGACGCAATTCGTGCTGATGACGATGTCGAATTTGCCGATCAGATCCGCGGGAGGGGGAGTCTCTAGGTTGAGTACTCGGAATTGCATGCCGGGGTGATTGAACTTCTTGGATGCGTTGCGGACGAATGTTGGGGAGATGTCTGTGAAGAAGTACTCGATAGGGTGGTTGAGGTTGCTCAGTGCTTCGATGACCCGTTTTGTAGTTCCTCCTGTGCCCGCTCCGACTTCGAGGATACTAATTGGCGCGTTGGCGCTTTTGGCGAGACGAAGCAAGAAATCGACGAGGAGCTCCGTCAGAGTGGCGAACATGGGTGCCTTGGTGTAGAAGTTCCCGATGATTTCTTGGGCGTTTGGGTTGCCAAAGAGGAGTTTGATGGGGTCTTCGGTACCTGTTAGGCACTCTGCTAGCTTCGACCCGGTGAGAGACATGAGTTCTGCCTCGCAGCTGTACTGAGGGAAATCGGCTAAGAATTTGCTCAAGAGCTGAGAAGAAGGTGCGAAATTGCACGAAGTGGATGATCGAACGTAGTCTGAGCCTTTCTTTTCGATGACTTTGTGCTTCTGGAGAATCTCGTAGTACCTCTGAACTACCTTGGAGTGTTTAGGCTGATACGCGAAGCTGGGAATCTTTTGGCCCATTCTGAGTGTTCTGAGATCAACTCCCAATTTTTGCAGCCCTTCTGTCATATATGCAAGGAGAAGTTCATTTTGACGAGCCGCAACTTCACTCAGATATCCTGTATACTGGCAATCTGTAGCGTACACTGGAAGGGAGGATTCGGCTGCTACTAGGGACTTGAACGGATCCGTAATACTTGCTTTCTCCCCAAAATTGCTTGTTGGTACACTTTTCACAGTCGGAATTGGTGGTTTTGAAAGCCCGGGACTTTGCTTTGATGAAGTGATACCAGCCAATCGCATAAGGTCTTTTACGGAATAATCGAGAAGCACATCGGTGCTTTCAAGGTTGATGTCTAACTCATCGGACAAACTCGATCCCAATTCTGTCGTGGAAAGAGAATCAAATCCGAGATCAGCAAGAGATTGGTTCTCTTGGATGCGACTAACATCCACACCACAAAGCTCTGAAATGAGTCTGAACAACTTGGCTTGTCGCTCATCATTTTCAAACTCTTCAGTGGCCGAGTTGAGTGTTGAAATAGCAATCGCATTTGATTTAGGTCTTGACGTGCGTATCTCAGATGCAACTGGAGGGGTCGACATGACTTGTTTCCTCGATGTGATGGGGCGTTTCCTAGTGGCTCTCATGGCATCAGCAGACACTATCTGGCACAATGCACTAAGATTCAATGTCTGGAGCTCATGATGAGAAACCGATTTACCAAACTGTTCCTTCAGTTCATCGGAGAGCTCCATCGTCGCGAGTGAATCAATACCGAGGTCGCCAATACAGGTGGTTTGGGGGATAAAGTCCGCTGGTGCGCCAATGTAGGTTGAAATTATCGTCCTCAGCCGAGATTCGAAATCTTCAGATCTGTCTGCGACCAAGGAAGAAGTGGTCGAATAATCCGAAGTGTCTGAAGAGTCGTCGGATGTTAGCTCCGGAAGATTCTTGCTTGTGATGGGCGTGTAACTGGCTGGAGAAAGGGGCCGACTCGGTCCTGAATCGATGTTCGATCCATTTGCTACGTCGAGTATCTGTTCAACTCTCGCTATTTCTATTCGGTGGAACTTGGCACCGATCGCCGTCATGGCGATCTCATTGTCTTTGGTAAGAACAAAGACATCGCCTGTCGCATGTTTACCATTGACGAGCGAGAAGATAGCATAGACATTCCATTCCTTAACGGAGTTGAAGTCGCAGAGTTTGGACATGGTGACGCTTTCGAGTCCCGAAGTTATGAACACCTGATCTCTGGAGCAGGCTGAACTGCTATTGATGAGCAAGCCGGAGACTTGGAGGAACATATCGATAGAAACAGTGTCGCAGTGCTTCTTTACCGCACTCTCATCGCTTCCCATGTGGCTGTCGGGTATGTGGATCGTAGCTAGCGCCTCATTCTTGTTGATGATAATGCTCTCAATTCCTTGTGACGATTCAGCGTAATGAACAACCTTGGAAAAGAGCTGGTATGCTCGTCCACACATTATCTTTTCGGAAGTGGGACTTGATCGGATTGATTCGATGCGCTCCGCTAGGAGAAGTTTGTATGTCGAAAACCGAGGTTGTTTAGCCAGGTGTAGTTTGCCTATTCCATGAACGGTTGCGCGATCTGAGCTATCTCCAGAACCAAGAGAGCTGGAAAGGACGAAACTCCAGCTATCTTTATCTGTTTCCTCTAGAATCAGCTCTATTTCGCGGTCCATATTGAAACCTAATGGCGATTTGAAGGACAGGTCCTCAAACACCATTGACTTGGGCCCAAGCTCCCAGCCAAGAAGCCGGATTGCCATAGCCGCGCATTCCATGTATAATGACGCTGGGAAGAGTGGTCGACCTCTGACTGAATGGCCGCTAATTAGCTTACGGAATCGGGTTGCCGAGCTGTTGACGACAAATTTCTCCGTATTACCAGTAGATTCAACATGGCGTAGTAGATGCACAGGAACATTTGCTGGGACGACCTCCACTTTTTGGGTTTTAAGGTTCTCAAGTTCTCGCTGAACCTCAGTGGCCCTATCTATATTTTCCAGCCACGCTTTGGTTTTTTGGAACTGATAAGGTGGCAGCCAGATGGGTTCCACACCAGCATCAGTCGGGGACAGGAAGGGCCAAGGAGTAACATCATGCCCTTCCTTCCAAAGACCGATAGTGATTTGGGAAAGTGACTCGGTAGGTCTCTCAGTACCAGCTGTCTTGATGGCGTGGAATGAGTGCCTATCCGAGTCGGCGGTAGCACGCTTGATCATTGAAACTATAGGTGAATCGAACCCTGCTTCAAGCCAGATGCAATCTCCAAGACGCTCTTCGATCCGCCTAACCGCGTCGACAAAGTAGACTGGTTTCCGGAGGTGCGACACCACGTGCTCGGCAGTGATTGAATCAGTTTGCTGTTGTGTGCAGGGTTCAATGGGAATGAACGCCTCCCTGAAAGACAACGATTGTAACGACTCAGAAAGTTCTGTACGGAGGGATTCAGTGAAAACAGAATGAAATCCGTGGGTAACATCGACCCTTTGGCTCCTGACTCCCTTGAACGAGGGATGAGTCGCCAAAACCTTTTCCACATCGGCCACTGCCATCTCGTTTCCGACGAGGACCTGACTAGTTGGAGCATTGAAGCAAGCAATCTCAAGAGTTTCATTACCGACGGCTTCGATGATGCTTTGGACAACAGAGACTGGTGCGAAGATGGCAAGCATGGTACCTTTATCTGGTCCCCACTTGGTCACCATAAGTTGGGCTCGAACGGCAACAAGTCTGAGAGCATCCTCAAGGGAGAGCACACCCGACACAGCCAATGCTGTTAACTCTCCAAAACTGTGCCCGATCGTGCAAGCGGGCTTGACACCTGCGTCGATCCAGCACTTAGCACTCGCGTACTGAACAGCCATGGTACCTGTCTGTAGCAAAACAGGGTCGTCGATAGTCGTGTTCTGGAACAAAGTTGGGATGATTGATCGATATCCAAGTTCTTTCAGGATAGCATCACACTTATTGATGTAGTGTTGTAGTCTGGGATTGGACTCATAGAGGGCTTCCGGCAAGCCAATGACCTGTTTGCTCTGACCGGCGAATGCAAGAACCACTTTTTTGGATGCGCTAGGGATCTCGCAGAGTGAGATGTCCGTAGAAAGCTGATTTAGTAGGTCAACCATGTCTGAAGTGGTTGTCATCCATGCCATAGGTTGTCGCTTTCGCCGTTCGGAGAGGGTGAAAGCGAGATTTGCTAAGTCGATATTCGTTCGACTGATATGAGACCTCAATGACTTTATGTAGGCCAACAGACTCTCTTCTGTGAAGGCAGAGAGAATGATGGGGTATACTACGCCCGTATGCGATAAGGTTCGCCTAGGTATACATATTAGCTTTGACAGTCTTAGAATTTGAAGTAACTTACGCTTTGCTAACATCCTTCCGAGGTCCTTCACAAACAACAACTGCGGCATTACTTCCAGCAGCTCCATAGTTGTTGACCAAGGCTGCTCTGAAAGGAGTGTTCCATGGCTCCAGATTCCTTGCTATAGTGATCTTATCTGGGCCCAAAGAGGGTATCTTGGGATTCAATTTATTGAATGATACATGAGGCGGGATTGACTTCTTCTGCAACATGGCAATGACCTTGACAAGCCCAGCAACGCCTGCTGCTGATTCTGCATGACCGGTGTTGCCTTTGATCGAACCAAGATACACCTTGTTTAGACGATCAGATGCACCAAACACCTCTCTGATGCTGCTGACCTCTAATGGATCACCTTGGGACGTGCCAGTGCCATGTGCCTCTATGTATGAAACATGGCGTGGGCTCATTTTGGCGCCCTTGAGAACGGATTTGTACAAGTCCACTTGGGTTGGTGGATGCGTCAGTGTAAGATTCTCGGACAGCCCGCCTTGGTTAGTGGATGATCCGGATATGGCAGCCAAAACTTGGTCGCCATCTGCCAAAGCCTGTTTTAAAGGCTTTAATACGACAAGTCCAGCTCCCTCGCCTCGGCAATATCCATCAGCTGACTCGTCGAATGGTTTGCATTGACCAGTCGGGCTGAGAAAACCAGCCTTTCCAAGATTTAAGTAATTATGGACACTGGATATGATGTTCACTCCACCAGCAATAGCCATTGGGCATTCACCAGATTGAATGGATCGGCAAGCTCTGTTGATGGCAACGAGAGAGGACGAGCATGCAGTGTCGATGACTTCAGCTGGCCCAGTCCAACCATAGCAATGACTTAGTTTCCCACACAGGAATGCCCGAATGGTACCAACTGCGGAGTATGCAGTGGGTGGGTAGGCATTGGTGTTATCCGCGTACTCGACGTAACTTGCTCCAATGAAGCAACCGACCTTGTCGCCGGTTTCGCGACGATGTCTGCGGAGATAACCCGCGGAATCCAGAGCCTCATATGTCAGCTCTAATAGGATGCGTTGTTGTGGGTCCATGTTGGCTGCTGCTTTGACATTCGAGCGGAAAAAGTTCCAGTCGAATTCGTCTGCTCCATCAATGAAGTTGCCGAACCATTTTGGCTTCCATTTTTCATTCTGCATTGCACGAAAACTTTCGTGCATGGGTACTCTGTCGAGGCGAATCTCTTCGCAAGTCGATATCCCGGCGGAAAGAAGGTTCTATAACTCCTCAAGATCGTTTGCCTTTGGCAGTCGACATGCAGCTCCAGTAATGGCGATGGCGCTCTCGGGACTAGCATTGAATGTTAGCATTATGCTGATTTGGGCAAATATACGGTCACGGCGCACTGGTGTTCTTGGAGTTACTTACTATTCGTATTCATCTAATGCGGCATTCTGGATGGCGGTGTAAGCTTCCACTTTTGTCACTTGTAAACGAGCATTGTGAAACGGCAACAGAGAAACAACATCTCCGAAGCCAAACAACACGAATGTGTGGGATTCGTTGTTGATTCCTGCTAGATCTCGTGATACCTCCTTCAGTAATTGATACCACTCGCAGCGGGATGCAAGAGTGGCGTTTATCGCTTCGTGAGTCAGTGAACAACCTTGTACCAGTTTGCCGTTCAAATTCGATCGCACAGGGACTCGCAGCTCCCTGGCATCGGGCAGGCTCATTTCGTCATGCCTCTGACATATATCAAATAGCACCTTGACTAAAGACGCGTTCTCTGGATTGTGTACTTTGCCGCGGATATGGATATCAGTGACCGTCAGGCACTGATCACGTGCCTTATCGGCCACTTTCTTGAGCTCGAGTGCTGGACCTACGATACTGATATTTCTCGGTTCTGTTACAGCCGAAATATAGCACTAGTCACTGTGAGCACGGAGTTATTGCGCAACAAGGAAATCGAATGACGATGTGACAGGCATCTCTGGGCCGGAATATGGCCGGAGCGACTGAGGTCATGGGTAAGACGGGAAGTTACGCAGGGACCGATGAAAAATGACTTACTTCAGGAACATCTCTGATTAGCTCGCTTCCTTGCTGAGAAGATTTCAACCGCACCGCAATTGTCGTCACTCCAGGAACTGATTCATCGTCCCCAAGTTGGCCAAATGCTCCCATTGCGAGGGCCAAGCGTAGAGCTTTACCGGCAAGACGAACGACGTTTTCTTCGTCTTCAGCGCAAGCAATGGCGAATGCTGTAGGAAGGCCTCCACAATATCCCTGCGCACCGCCACCGCTTTTCAGACTTTGTAGCACTTCGGCGTGCGTGAGATTGTGAATTTCCAGCCATTGGAAGTACTGGCAGATATGAATGACGACCAACAGAGGTAAAGAAAGAATACCAGACATTGATTTGGACACGGGCCCAGAGATGCCTTCGGTAACCCATCGCTCTAGGTTGAGGACATGTTGTGGGCCTGTGGTGACTTTCGCAATGTCCGCATACTCATTGCAGAGTGTGGCCCATGTGTCCTTCAGTGATATGATGGCCTCTAAAAGAGGTTGTAGGCGAGAGTTCTGAGTGAGGTATTTTTGTAATTGGGTAAGGTATGCCTCTGTTGGGGCCTTACTCTGTGGGCAAAAGAATGCCACCGAAGGTGCAGAGTCGTTGGATTGGCTCAGCATCGCGGCAACTTTCAAGTTTGGAGAGATCTCTGGGTGAGACAAGACATATGAAGAATGGCAGCTGAGTTCTTGATTCTCACTTTCATGATCATCCCCTTCACTATTTGTACATCTACGATGGTCCCCACCTACGAGCAACCCCACTATGGGCCAAGATCATATCTTGCTCATCTCGTATATGGGGTCTCTATCATATTCGCTAAGGTTTCCAGACATAGAAACCAATGGTAACTGATTGTCGTTGTTGTTCCTTCATCAAGGCTAGGTTGCGAACTTCGCTGTCAAATGACGCCGAGTGACTTGCCGTGCAAAGGGTCAGGTAGCAGAGAACCACCGAACCCGGATGAAGAGCCGTGCATGAGTCAACTGGGCCGTCCCTCCCGCGTGTCCGTCAATCTAGAGTCATGAGAAGTCCGCTTCAACCCCGCAAGTGCTCATTGTCGATCGTGTGGGCAACTCCACTGGACCCACTTTTTGATCTTATTGCCAACACTTTGTCTTCTGAATCATGTTGGCACGGTGAAGATCAATTGAATCTCATTTTGCACATTGTGATTTGTCTCTTGTCGCCAGTAGTGGATGTTTGACAATGATAAAGTTTGTCTAGCATGAATGAGCTTGTTCAGATTGCCTTCATGATTGGATGGCTTATTAACAACGTCATCCTTGACCCACTTGTAAAACATCCGTTCCCGCTCCTTGAAAGAGCCTCTCTTATATCCAATGTTCTCAATAGATGAATAACTAAGATAACACTGGATACGCACTACTTGCGTTAGTACCACTAAGGCCCGGTTGTATGGGTGAACCTTTAAGAGATCAGGCTAATTATACGAATGGCACGCCAATACAAATTAAGCCTTCACTCGAAGCCTACTTTTTAATATGTTCAATTTTTCTGGCCTTTTGAAGTAGTAGACTACCTGGCCTTCGCTGTATCCCTTGGTTCACTGAAACTGTCAACACGTAACAGCTGAGTCCGCTCTTTCTTCTTAGCTCGATAATGAAAAAACAAGGCGCTCTCATCAAGTCGGCTGAAGACAGGGTAGGGGAAAGATTGGACGAAAAGAGTAGTGATTGAGACCTCTTGAGCCCAATCACTAGTGATCGAAGGGGAAAGCGCACTTCTCTCGTGGGGCCAGGTAGTCGGTAAAGCCGTTGTACTACTTATGCATCGTAGTGGATACTGAGATGACAGTCACCGTGCTCTCAGAAGCGTCGTGTTTGTCCCTCTCGTGTCCTTGATACAAAGTAAGGCGGAGGCAAGAGATTTGTGACAACTTCTGTGGCGGATACGTTGCCTAAGCTGCTGTGTTGTTCATTTTTCATTGAACAACCTGGCGTCTTGGACGATGCTTGGATGAAATTTTGAGCGGTCAGACTCGTCCGTGCGAAGAAACAGCCACAGGAAGGTGTTCGTATTGAGTTCGAGGACGATGACACAAAGGCTTGCAGTTCATTTATAGTTGGTCTGTGCGCTTGCCTTTGAGCTAGTATTTCGTAGCCCGCCATGTACCCCAGCGATCTTTGACCCTTGATCCAGTTGCTCGGGGCCTCTTTAAGCTTTGGTCCGATCATCCTTCACGTCTTAGCAAGCTATGAGACAACGCCCGTTTTGACCCATACATTGTACAACTTCGAATTCAAGCTTGATGAAAAACGTGTACATTGGATGGACCAACAGATACGCATTTTGTTGCTGAAGTCATTGAAAGCAGTCGAGGTCCACGCTGCAAGCTACGAGCATCAGCTTTCCATTCCTACATGAGGCAATGATAGGGCCAAGAGCAACCGGTGAACGTATTGGTGGATCTCGGCATTTCTGGGTACAAAGTGTACTGTTCGCGTAACTTCCTTCCCCACTCAAGTGTAGCGTATCATTTTCGGCGATTTAGGGATTAACATTCCTATTCCACCGAGGACGCGTGGACTCGCGCATAACTACTGATGGCTCTTACTATTTGAGTCCTAGCACCAGCACTGCTCTATGCGTAGCTTACTTGGCTCCTTACATAAATCCGCCTTGCTGACGGAAATCTTGTAGCCAACCTGGGTGGTCAGCTAAAGTCTGGTTCCATCCATCATCTCCATCCTGATAAAAGAGTCTTCGTGACTCTCGTTGAAACATCTCGTCCGTAGGAATGATACCCAAAAGCATCTGTTGTCTCGCAAAACGGCTGAGATGGCGGGTAAGAACTGTAGCAAAATCATAGTTGTTGTGTAGAGATGGCATTGTTCGAAGCGCAGCCAGAGAATCGCTCAAGTCTTGTTGGTCCTGAAATGGTGCATCATCCGTGGTAAGTGCGGACGCTGCTTCCTCTGATTGGAGGTGCGAGATAAACTGCTTGGTATGGTCAATTGAGCCTGGATTAGTCGCGGAGAAAGGGACCACTGTTTTTGCTTGATCTGCAATAAGATAAGGCGGGAATGCATTAAGGACGCGAGCAGACACAGCAGGCTCAAAGCCATGTTCGCCTGTCCAATCATCCATTTTCTTTCCTTCGCGGAAGTGCGCTGCCAAGTGGTCTGCCCTTTCATCCCAGCTTCTCAGGGCGGCGTCGCAAATGCCGCAGCGAGACTTTATGGGACTCGACTCGAGCTTCCAATCGTCAATAAGAGGAAGCGTATCTAGTCCATGAACGAGGCGGAGATGCTGAACGAGGTGGTCCTTTCGGCGAAATATACGAGGCGTAGATTGGCCGTCATCACAGGCTACGTGGTTATGCTGCTGCAGATGGGTAGGGGTTGGGTCAAGCGCACTGCAGTATGCACAATGAACTCTGCCAGTCAGAGGCAGCACGACAGAAGCCCCATGCGGCGTACACACCCACTCCTCCATGTTTAGATGTAGTGACTTCTCATGCCGTGTCCAATCATACTTGGTTTTGAATGTATCGCAACAAAAGGTACATTTGAAAATACGGTTTGGGTCGTCTGTATTCTTGATCTTGGTTTTGCCCTTTGTACGCGTTCTACTAACTTGGCTGCGACGCCTAGTTTGCGACGTAGCAGAATGGCTTGAATTGGCCGATCGCAACGAAGATTCACTCGCTACACTGTCAAGACTGGTGGTTGATGATGGGCCTCGATACTTTCGGAAAGGATTGTGACTTGAAGAACGACTGATCCTCGGTGCTATATCTATGGGCCGGCCATCGAGAGCGTCGCATATAGCGGTGAAAGATGCCGCCTCATCTTCAGGTGGCGAATTGCGCCATCGCTGCATCGTCAAAGATTGCTCTTGTTCGTTTTCATATTGAGGGCTGATTGGTATGGCAATGGGACTAGATGTTCCTATTGATGTCCGGATCATGTACTTGCTGCGACGACGAGGAAGCGTGTGCTGTCGTGGTATAGGTATTTGTCGGTAACCTTCGACTGCTTGGTTAGGAGTGACCTCCATTGGGTAGCTTACCGAACAGGTATTGCTTGAAGATCCGAGTTTGCTCCCTGCATAAGGGTCCTGGTAGTTCGTGTTACTCGTCCGGGTGTTGATGCCGAATGTGTGGGGCGGCATGGATGTGGTAAGGGTCTCATCGTGTGTTACGTCTGTAGCCAGGAATTTCTCAAAGTAAGATGCATCTACTTCTTCTTCTTCACCCCAAAACGGAAATTGCCAATCATCCGGTCGCTGCTGGTCCATGGTGGGAGAGAGGGGGGGCAGGGGAGTGCCGGCAAAGAAGAGATCAGACCGAGACTGGCACGATAAGGCAGTGAGAGGATTAACGCTGGAACGGCACTTGTCGGCAGGAAGGTTCAGCGATATAAAGCAATAGGTCGACTGCATAATCTCACGTGTATTCTCCATGAGGCGTGCATATTATCTTCTTGCAAGGCGTAGGGCGTGAGGGAAGTGGGGGTAGCGGGGTGAAGGATTCGCGCTAGTAGCCCAGTGCGCCGGGCGCTGGAAACAGTTCCTTCTTTCATCGCTTTGGAGCTCAAACTCCCACTAACCGCAACTTGTCTTTCGTCATGGACAGCGAGGGTGAGAAAGTCCTCGAGGGTATCTTCGGTGCGTCTGCTTGCTCCTTATTGCTTCTCCCTGCTGATGATTGAGCAGCTGTTGCCAAGCCAGCAAACGTCTCCTCTGCAGATGTTCTCCTCAAATTGCAAGAAACTTTTGCGCCATCAGCCACATTTGCGCCACTGCTCAGGACGCAACCCAAGCGTACCAGCAAATCGTCTGATCAGGTGTTTCGCCTCGGACACGGCGGGACTCTGGATCCCTTGGCTGCTGGAGTTCTTATTGTGGGCATCGGCCGTGGCACCAAACACCTCTCTAATTATCTGTCTTGCAACAAGACTTATGAGACAGTTGTGCTTTTCGGCGCAAGCACGGATACTTACGACTGTACTGGCTCCATAACTCAGGAAGCGGACTACTTACACGTGACAAAAGAGTTGGTTGATGGAAAGCTTGGGACTTTCAGAGGAACGATACAACAACTGCCCCCTCTGTACTCGGCATTGAAGATCAATGGTATCAAAGCCTGCGAGTACGCGCGTCAGGGGAAGGACTTGCCACGAGATCTGGAGAGCCGAGAAATGCATGTTGATGAGTGTACGCTGCTGGAATGGTACGAGCCGGGACAGCATGACTTTGCATGGCCCAGCAAGGTCGAGCCCGCTTCAGCACCCGCCGCAAAAATTCGACTGACGGTATGCTCGGGCTTTTACGTTCGCAGCTTTGCACATGATCTCGGCAGGGCGTGTAATACGTGTTCACACATGGCATCTTTGCTTCGAACACAACAAGCAGATTTCACCACATCGAACCCACCTGAGCCATCGAGTTTGACAAGCGCGCTAACATATGCGGATCTGGAAGCTGGCGAACACGTCTGGGGGCCGAAGCTTAGACCACAACTTGATCGTTGGGTCACTGCCCATCCGGTCGTTCAAGGGCATGTCAATGGGAGGGATGCAAGTGTGAAGCGCAAGACCGAAGAGCAGCAAGCAAGACCGAGGCAACGGTTCCGTGGAGAGTGGGTTGCAAGCACAAAGAAAGAAAGGATCAAACAGCAAGGAGGCAAGTTCAAGGGCAAATGGGGAAGAAAGCTTGCGGCCGACAGGGAGGCAAATAACACCAGTGACCAGCCGGTGGTGCCTGTGATCAACGATCAAAAGCTATGAAGATACCAATTTTTGCGAACAAGCCCGAGCATCGGAAGATCGAAATTAGCCGTGCGGAAACCCGAACGACGAGGCTCCACAAAACGATTGCGCCGTCAATTTCCCACGTGCGAGACTACCGACACCAATCCACTACGGTAACCTCGGTTTTATGATTCCAAAAGCCACCATGCCGGTCCTGACGCAATAACGGAGTCTTTCAGCTCGAATGGCTACGGCTCCCGATTCATATTCCGCACCTGGGCATGGCAAGTCCGAAGTCCTTGGCTACTGTTTTGTCCTAGCACTACACATTATGTATAGTAGCGGGACAGCGGGCGCAGGGTTCCATAGCTGGGACGCCGACCGGCCGGACCTCATGTCACTGTATTCCAAACTAAATCGGAAACAGAAATATCAAGCGATTGCGTACCGCTGGACAGACGGTTCGATCGTTGTATCGCGGGCATTACCATATGCAGATGTTCCCACATTCACGTTTACTCTGGAGTTGAGCGGACGCCTTTCGGCGATAAAAGTCAATTGACCTTGGCAGCATTCTGCTCATGCAATATCTGTCGCACGATGGCAAGCACAAAGTATCCACGGTGTCTGGCTGTCGGTTCATGTTGCCAGCGGGTGGCTGCTTAGTGAAAGCTTGGTAGAATGATACGTTTTGCAGTGCCTAGTTCAGGGAAGAGCATGTAGAGTAGGGGGTAACAAGACACGAGGAAAGAAAGGGCGATACAGGGCACAACCTTGTTGTTCACTGGGAATTTTGCTAATCTCATGCCGTTGCGTGTACACACTAAGGCACAGGCCGAGAAGTTGATCGGCGGGAGCGAAAACTGACCTGATGTTTGGGATCTAGCATGACGAATAGTGGGTCGCCTGGATTTGATCGCCGGCCAACCCCGCGGGCCCGCCAACTCCCAACACTCTTACGCAGCGAGTCAAGCAGTCAATGTCAGCCCTTCTCGAACAGATTCCGTCCCCATCAGTACCAATGAATGCACTGCGAACAACAACACCTCCGAAGCCCGCTAAATACGCTCCCTTTCGCACGTGGGACTATCGGTCGAGTCTAGGTTTTTTTACCTCCTTTTATGACGACTCGCCATCACCCATGATTGCGCTATCGGCCATTGAAGCTAGCTCAAAGTTTAAAGTTTGGTACCCAAAGGTTGATATCAGCAGCCGGTCGTTTCTAGAGTTGCCCTCCTTCAAGCCATTTGGATACTGGTTGTTTTGCATTTTACACTACCCGACTGCCGCTCAAAGGGTCCGAAAGTCACTGATTTGCCGCCTGGGCATGCATTAAACATACAATCTGATGTGATTTGGACCAGTTACGAAAATCAAACCCTATCCCAATAGTGTTTCATCGCTTTTCCTAATGACGAATCATCGCCTGGTCGTCTTCTCACCCGCAACAGCGTGCGTCACTAACGTCAGTGTAAACTGAGGCCACCGAACGGGATTTGCAACAATGCCTTGTCATTGTTTCTATGAGACGGCAAATTTCCTTAGCCTTGAGCAACCATCAAGTATCTTGGCCGCAAGGGTCAACGCTAATGGCGATCTGGGACGCCGTGGAACATGCCCCCGATGCGAGACATGGACGGCCCGAGTAACATTCCTCGGACCTGTGACTCGCGGCAGTGGAATACCTTTCGCCTGTGGTTAGCTTTTCATTATCGCTTCAACTACTATATGCAGCCGTGGAAACGTCAAACATGCGACAGACGCTTATTCTTGCTTCCCCTCTTTTCCTTCTATATCCAGCCGAACCCCATGTATCTCCACTAAGTATACCGACGTGTGTTTACTCGTATCTTAATGGAGATCGTGACATCCATTGTAAGCTCTCATGTCTGCTTACAAAAAAGCGACCTACTAACCCACTACAGGCGATCCAGGCACTCTTGCTTGGCCTAGCATTTGGTGTCACTTGTATGCGATGTTGGATCCGCGTTCGCCTCGAGGAACGAGGGTTGACACTGGTCGACTGGCTCGTGTGGGGGGGATGGTTATGCGCCCTTGGATGGTTCAGTTGCTCGACTAAAGCGCTATACATTCTCATCGATCATCCACTGGACGAAGAGACACGAAGCGATTCAGTTGATTACCTCAAGGTACGTGCAAAATATCAAGTAATCGGAAGGGAAAAAAACTGACTGGAGTGCGATTAGACCGTCTTCGCGTCCGTGTACTTTTTCGACACAGGGCTCTACTTTCCCAAAGCGTCCCTTGTGGCTTTCTACTGGTGGTTAATTCCATCGGGCTTTCGACGCCTGCGAATCGCAACCTACGTTACTTCTGGTATTGTGGCTTGTGCGTTTCTCGCGAGCATATTGACGGATACCCTGATTGCACCCAAAATCTCTGACAACTGGTATGATATGAACCCCGCGATGCACCAAAATGCATATTTTTAACAACAATGACAGGTCCATTGAAAACCAGCTCAATTCGACATGGAACGCATACGCCAACTTGGTTGTTAACTGGGTCCTCAACTTTGCCACTGACCTGCTACGTATGTGTGCTTCCGGATACTCATTGCTGACTTGTTGAGCTAACGAGCAATTAAATGCAGTGTTCATTCTTCCTTTCTTCATCATAAACTGTCTAAAACTTCGAAAACGACAGAGGATCGGTCTAGTTGGCGTTTTCTCGCTCGGTGCTATCACAATGGCAATTAGTCTGGCTCGCTTCACTGTCTACAACATGAACTACGACGTTAGCGATGCCGATGGAAGTGAGTTTGCCACTGAAGAAAAACCCCAGCAAATTCATCAAAGATTTAGTTGCTAACAAGTGCTACTAGATCTCTGGTGTACCGCCGAAATGTGCACAGCCGTTATCGTCGTCTCACTCCCCTTTTTTAAAACACTCATCATCCGTTCCAGTACCCCCACCACGACGAGTCGCAGCAACACCGGCTATATTTCCGGTCCATCCAACAGGATTCACGTATCTGGCGGCGACGACACGTACTCATCGCATGTGCGGGGTGGCCCCTCGGACGACGAAGTGGAACTTACTTTTCAGGACCGAAAGCGAAGTCTTACACCCCCTGGAACGGTCGATGAGGTTCGAACACAAGACGGAAAAGATAATGTGATGGTTACGACGAAGTGGACAGTTACGAGGGATATGTTGTAATTTAAAAAAAACGCGTACGCATTTACGGGTTGGTATGAAAGTCGCTGGGAATATATGGGCTGTATATATGTATGTGGCATGGTGACGTGGACGAAGGAGGGAACACCATTGGATTACTTACCCTTTGTATATTATTATTCTTTTCAATTGCTAATGATACCTTTCAGAGGGCGAAAAAAAGCCCTCAGGTTATTCATATTTTCCTGGTCTTGGAGATCTCACCAACGTTGCATACCAAATCGCAACGATACAAGTCCATGGTTGTTTGATTTTTCCCAATCACATGGCATACATACATACATACATATCTGATAGTATACCATTCCACCCTGGACCCCTTGGGACCCTAGCACCACCATCCCATGCAGGCCCACCCCACTCCCGAGAATACGAGGCCAATTCCACGTGCGCGGCTCATCCGTCTTTCCCCTCCCCATCTCGTTAGCCCTTTTAGCAAGATACAAAAACTAGCGTTTTGCCATGCGCAACCTTAATTTTAGGTTTAGGGCCGCTGCCATGGGAAATTGCGCCATGGTCGGTGTGCTGGCGCTGCGGGGTGGAGGGGGGGAGGGGGTGGCCTTCTGCTGTGAAGGAGAGTGTGGTCGGGAAGATACATGGGTGCTGCTGGGTACTGCTGGGTGGGTTTTGTGAGGATGGTTGTGTGGTGGAAGGTGGGGGGAGGGTTGGTACTAGAGGTTGGGCGAGTATGAGATACGCTTGTGTATTCGGCATGGTTTGACATATGCAGGGGCTTTCAGGGAATGAGTTGATGCAGTAGCGGATGTGCGGGTACTGATATTACCTGATGTGGAGGTGGGTAGGTAACGGTGATTCTTTATGTACGCCGTAAGAGGGATGCCTTGACGGTGACAACTATACAGTCTCTCAGTGTTGTGACTGCGTGGTAGTCTTGGTGCTGAATCCAGTTCCTGTATACATCTTATTTCTACGCATTTGGATCTACCGGTTTTTCCCCCCACGTGTTTGTGTTTCAGGGGGTTGGGGACGAGAAAGGAAAGCAAGGTGGGAGGGTGGTGGAGTTTGTTTGTAGTTGGAATGAAAGTGGGCAAATCATGTAAGAATGTTGTTCCACAATCAAAATAAGGAACTGGATTCGTTCTGATCTATGTTTATTTAACTCTCATACCAAACTGTTCATGCTAGGCAAACAAAGTGTCAGATGTACAGAAGACGAGGACAGACTGGTAGCTCTAGAGGCAGCAGTAAAAGGTGCTACCAGGATTGGTAAGAAGTACACACAAGACCCCATTACCTGCTATACTCGAGCTTGGTGCTAACCAACTCATCGTGTACCACGTTCTACTGATAAAAGACAGTTGGGACGGAAACCAATGGATTAACAGCTAACAAGGACGGTGTAAGTTAGAAGGGCTAGCGTGGTGATAATCTGAAGTCCTCATTTTGGAGAGAGGGTTACACCAAGGGACAGAAGGTTGCTAAGAGGGAAACAGAACTGTATATTCCTTAGTCAATGAATTCTGAATCATGAAAAGTATCTTGTTTTGTGTTCATGAATATGCATGTTTGATTAGATGGTACGATGCAATATATAAGGTTCCTTAGTCTACTCCATCGAAGTGCAAAACCAACACGTATTCAAGGACTAGGAGTAAAAAAATCTCTTTGAGGCTGAAGTAGAATCACTTGCTGTAAGAGTCTCTTACTTATTGAAGCCACAGTGATATCTAGTTTAGAGGGTTTTGTTGGCTTGTTAGACATAGTCCTCGTATATCCAGGCTGGCCGATGCTAGATGGCCGCCACCAATTTCCCTGTTTCTTTTTTCTTCACATCTCACCCCATATGAAACAAGAAAGGGCTGTTGATGGTCCTAATATATGTATGTTCCAACTCTCCCCAACAGATGGTGGATGAACATGGTTACCACTTGATGGTTGTCAGCCTCAGATCGGCCCCCAATCCGGGACGCTAGAGCGGGGCGGTGCAGTGTGCAGACGGCCAATCGGGGCTCGTGGCAACGCATCCCCGATGCAGCCAACACAACAAGCGCCGTCATGGCCGACTGCAGTTCTCTCCTGCTGACCCACGCACGCACGCCAACATCGCAGCCTGACGCCTCCCCTCACGCCGTTCCTGCACATCGCACATCGCACATCGTCCTACCGTGCACCGCCACAAACCCCTGTGAACACCCAACGTCGCCCTCTGCTATCGCGGTTCTGGATGCCGCTGTTGTGATGATGATGCTGCCCGCCACCCGCCTTGGTCCCCTGCCAACTCTGCTGCTGGTATGGGCGGCCTCCGTCGCCGCCAGCGACACAATCACCTCGGGCAAGATCAAGGTCCAGCTGTTTGCTGCGCCTTCGTTCCTTAGCGAAGTAAGCGTCGACGCGTACAACAACCAGTGTCTCTCACTCGATAACAACCTGTACGTACCCATGCGAGACCCATGCTCCCTCGTGCCGGTCCCCTACTAACACCAGGTCAGCATCGATGGGCGTGTGCAGAGCATATTGGTCGGCGGCCATGATGTCGCGAGCGTATTGCAACGCGACGACTTCTGGAACTGTAGATTTTACGAGTGAGTTTGCGACGAGGCTGACGGTGGCTGGTGAGCTAGCATTGGCTGATAAGAGAACAGCAATTACGACTGCAAAGGCGACATGGACATGGATTCGTACCTCACTGTTCCCGACGGCGTAAACAACCTTGGCAGCATTGGCTGGGGCACCAAGATCCACGGCCTCAAATGCCGCAATTTCGCGTCCACGGACGATTGAAGCGCATGCGAAGGAGAATGTGCGAAACATGTAAAACGAGCAAAACACAGTACCCACTGTACACCAAACACCAAACACATCACGGACGACCGTCAATGCGGCGCTTGGGCAAGACCCATTCCACCGTCGACATACGATACCAGCGCCGCGAATAATACCCAAGCCACGCGGAAGAGCCTGTAAATACCCTCACGACTGGGAGATGTCTGGAGGCGTAATATCTTGTAGAGCATTCGATTCAAAGGAGAAATATTGGTTCAGACATGGCAGAGCCCTGGTGTACATAGGGTAATAGGGCCAGGAGCGGATGACGGAGCATACATATAGAGGAGGATAGCATATATGGCCTACTGGCGATCGAAGTGCTCGATGCCTCAGCTATAGTAGATATTGTACATAGTCGTAGTAAAACATGAATCATAATAGAAATATCAAAGATTAATCCGAATCAAAGGTCCTGGCTGTTTGGCACTTGGTGATGGGTTCCAGAGGAAGTTGCGATCCAGATATTGCCCTTGGTGCACGTGATGTGATAATGGCGGGTTGCAAACAAAGAGAAATGATGTCAGGGCCAAAGCAATCAAACCAGCCCTTTCTTTTCTCCCTTTCTGTTCACTCAATCCACGTCTAACTTGTACAATTCGCTCTACTCAACCATAACATCGTGAGAGAAGTAACCCCGGGTATCTCCAGTGCGAAATCCCAATCGCCAAACGCCATATTACATTATAACAAGTTTCCCCCTCTTTCCACTCTGACTCGTTATAAATCAATCAGATCTGGTGCCTCGCCCGACCCTACGCCACGCAGTAGGACAATCATGTTCCCGCTCTGGCACACTTCCCCGAGCTTCTCGTTAAACTTGAGTAACCTCCCGCCCTCGACGTGAAAGACGCGCAGCTTTTCTTCCTCGCCGCCACCCCGGTTGTTTACATTCTGGACTTGCAGCGCTTTGGCGGCTATGTCGAGCACGCGACCAACTGTCCACTCCTTGTTGTAGAAGAATTTGCCAGTTGGGTACTTCGCTTTCGTCGTATCGGCCGAGGCTTCGACATGCAGATATATCCGTTTCTCCTGAGGAATACTGGCCTCGCCTTTTGCTGTGCGCTTCAGCGCGTTAAGTTCGGCTTGGGCTGATGATGCCGCCGATGCCTTGCCTAGACCCAGGAATCCGGATTTCTTGGGCGCGGCTCTCCGCTTCTCGTCTTCCTTCTTCTTGTTCTCCGCCCAAGCTTTGAGCTTTGAGAGCGCGGTTTGCGTGCGTACTTGAACCGAGTTTTGTGGGCGTGCGCCGAGTGGTGTCAAATTCTTGCAGTCGTGGTCTTCTTCGAAACGGTGCTTGAGACAGTAGCGGCGATTGCAGCGGGTGCACTGTACACCTTGGGTACGAGCGGTATCGATGAGCGTTTTGCAGGAGACACTTGCACACTGTTGTTCGTGCGTGAGTAGTGTGGGCTTTGGCGCCGGCTCTTCCGAGCTGCTCTCAACTTTGCTCCGTGCCCACTGGCCCTGCTTTGGGCATTTATGTGCGCTCTCGGTACGATGGTCGAGACAGAATGTCCTAGGTAATGTGTCAGTGTAATTCGATAACTTCAAGTGGTGACAACTGTATGCCTTACCCTTTACAACTTTCACAGGGAAATGGCAGAAAGTCGAGGACATTGCAATACTCCATTTGGCAATGCGCCCCGATAGCTTCTACTTCGCCCTTCATCTTGGTGTTTGAATTGTTCGAAGATGACATGATGGTAGCGCCAATATCAGAGTTAAGTATGCTAACGTGGGAAGAGATTACAAAAACGCCGTCGCTGAGCGAGATGGTTGGAAATGTAGTAAGAAGACGCAGGAAGCGTCGAGAAGGTCGCAAGCTCAGGCAACTGCGCTGACGATTGCTAAGTCGGAATGCTTGGGACAGTTCCGAAGGTGGCACGCTAGTGTCAGGGTCCGAGGCTACGCACGTCTTCAGCCACTGCCGCCACACACCGGACCTCCTGGTTGTCATATGGATCAACTCGGCGCTTCCTCACGACACATGCTACTAATAATCCTAAGCGACAACAACTGTGGGGCCATTGGCTCTTTATCCCAGTCATGAATGGTATCCGTCTTTCTGTAGCCGCGCAGGTTCCAGAAGCGCGTCTACAGGCTAACGAATACCCATGCCTCTGTTGCCGCCTAGCATGGCAGGATCCGTCTATTCAAAGCACTTTTTCATGCGGAGTAGTCTTGTCTCCCTTCATACAAGAGTCACAGCGCTACCGTGGCAAGATATAATCATGATTGTTCTTGATTTGGTCGCTGTTGTCCAGACGCTCTTATCTGTTATCCTTACTTTCTTCATCTTGTATTCACTGATTTAATTATGAAAACTCGATTTCGAAAGCTTTTTGGCCTGGAAGCTCGGAATACGACAGCCGCACACGGTTGCTCACAGAGATCGATGAAGCCTGACTATGAATACAAGACTTTACCCGAAGGCCGTATACGTCTCCTCGTCTTGCTGCCAGGACCCCGAGAAGCTGCGATCCGCTGTTCCCTAAGACCTGTTGCCTTGGCCGATTTTGAAGACAGATTTACCGTCAACTCGAAATCAGAACTTGGGATGTATGAAGCCCTTTCGTATTGCTGGGGAAAATCGGAGGAAACTAAGACAATTGACTGCGATGGTCAGTCACTCGAGATCAGGGCCAATCTGGAAAGCATACTACGCCATTTTCGATTTGAAGACAGACCCCGAGCTATGTGGGTGGATGGTATATGTATCAACCAGAAATCCGATACAGATAAGTCGCAGCAAGTTTCTCTTATGGGCGTAATTTACTGGAAAGCTACTAGAGTACTCGTATGGCTTGGTGAAGAAGACAATAGCGCGAAGCAAGTCAGTGCTGCGAAGGCGTTTGAATTCATACGCAGATGCAGTAATTTTAAAGAAGCGGCGGCAAATAATAGACTTGGTCATCCAACTGCGATGCCAGAAGATATCGAAGATATTCAGGGGAGCAAAGAAACTGTCTCATGGGAGTCAGTTCGACGATTGTTCACTCGAGATTGGTTCACACGAGTGTGGGTAGTTCAAGAGCTTGGTTTGGCAAGAGACGCGACGTTCTACTGTGGAGACGCCTCAATCGATTTCCAGGACCTCGATCGCTTTTGTGAATTCCTCCTGTTTCACGCCCCGTTAAACCAAACTCATTACAGACTCAATTTGCAAACACTCAATTTGGCTCTTAAATACCAAGAGAGCACACGTGGTAACCACCGATTGGAGTTTGGCAGCGATCCCCATCTTGCGGAAGATCTTTGCGACGTTCTCGCGTCGGCAAGGGGCTTGAATTGTACTGATTCAAGGGACTCCGTATATGCCTTCTTAGGTCATCCCTCCGCTTTCAAACAACAGCTACTGGATTCAGAGCCTTATATGTGGTACCCGCGGAACTTTTACAATAACAGGCCAACCGTTATTAAGCCCGACTACAACAAAGGCACGACCAAGATGGACGTATACTTCCGATTGGCATGTACAATGATCGAACAACACGGACTAGGGATGAAACTTTTGCGGTACATTCAGCACAACGAAAAATCAATCGAAAAAAATAAACCATCCTGGGTACCTAGGTGGAATATTTGTGAGGCTTCACCATTTACGAGAGCTGTAAACTTCTACACTGCTGCTACTCACTTGCCGTCTACTTCGTTTGGAATTTCACGTGGCACTAAGTCTCAGCCCAGGGCTCTTAACATCAAAGCCCGTTGCATGGGGCCAGTGTACTGCTCAATGTTGATTCCATATGAGCAGTATACAAAGAAGTCACCAGACAGCGAAACAGAACCTTCAAAACCTCCCGCCGCAAACGATGACTACTACAATCCTCTGGAAAGCATAATCGAGACACTGGACGTGCTCAAGAACGATTTCGCAACCCAAAAGTACTGCGACATGAGAAGCCTTTCTGCCACATTGACAGGAGGTCTGACATGCAAAGAAGAAGGCATACGCGAGGTCATCAATGAAGATAACGCAACACAACACTACTACGATTTCTGCGCATACCGCCACGCCAAGTCCGAAGATACCAGAAACCCTGGAACAACAGAGAACGACTCCTCGACTCTCCCACTCTCTCAGGACCATAAAAAGGGTGATGAAAAGCGATACACCGCCGCGTACCTTGCTGAAAGCACCCGCTGCTTTCTCACTCGCGACGGACGACTAGGACTCGGCCCGAGAATCACTGAGGGAGGCGATCAAATCTGGCTTCCTATGGGCGCTGATACGCCTTTTGTGCTAAGACCGCTTTGCAATGGCGATTTCAAGATTCTTGGACAGGCGTACTTGCATGGCGTTATGCACGGGGAGGCGGTTGCGGATTTGACTGAGGATGATTTTGAGGCTGTGAAGCTGGTTTGAGTTGTGGGAGGGACTTGGTGATCGGGAGATTAGGAATGTTTTTCAAGCTCAAGTGTGTTTTCTGAGAGGTATCGTGAAAATGAGCTTGGTGGTGCTGTTGTAGTATGTAACGTTCAAGTGTCTTTGCAAGTTGGAGATACTTCTTCTCCTCATGTCTGTACCGTTCTGACATTGTTAAAATACATGAATTCAATCAAACATCATCATCACACCCTTTGAACTCTTCAATTTTGCAAAATTTCGCAATGCTCCCTGCAAAGTAGCCAAAAGATATATTCAACTCACTCCTCATGACCAAAATGCTCCCCCTTCTAGAAATCCCATGCATCCAGACCCAATCCCGCAGCAAAGAAGAAGAAGAAAAACCATTCAACTTCATTGCTGCACCCTGTCTTAAAACGCCCATACCAATGCATACCGAAATGCTTCCATAGACCCAAAACACCAATGTAAAAAACACCCCTCTGTAACATTGAACTCAGGAAAAGAAAACCAACACCCCCAAATCACAAGTCCACGTCCGCATCAGCATCCGCCACCCTCTTCACTAACCCCCTAATCTTGGGCCACAACTCAGGAATGCGAAAGGGCTTTGAAATGGCATCATCCATGCCGGACGCGAGCGCCTGCTCGACCTGCTCCATGCGCGCATTCGCACTAACCGCCAGTATAGGGAGGCGCAGAAACTGGCGGTGGGCAGGGTTATTATTGCTGTCAAGGGATGAGGTGGAGTAACGGTGTTTTGCTAGGGACGCGGAAAAAGGGTCGTTGTGGTTTGAGGATTGGATGGGGGAGACGGAAATGGCGGAGAGGCGGCGGAGTTGCGAGAAAGCTGGGGAAGGGGAGGCGAGGAGGCCTTGATGCTCGTAGTCGCGGATTAGGCGGGCACAGGTGAGGCCGTCCATGATTGGCATCTCGATGTCCATGAGGATGATGTCGAGGTCGTGTTTGGGGGAGTCTGCTTGGGTGGGGCTGCTGTCGGAGTCGGGTTGCCAGTATATGCTGTGTTTGAGCCATTCGAGAGCTTCCTGGCCGTTTCCGGCGACGCTGACGTTCCATTTGAATTTCTCGAGTTGTTTTCGCAGGACTTTTTGGTTGACGAGGTTGTCTTCTACGATGAGGACGTTGAGTTTGATCATGCGCATGGCTTCTTCGCCGGTTATTGTGCGGTCGAGAATGGGTCGGGCTTGTGATGCTCGTCCAACGATTTGGTCAGTTGGCGGATATGCCAGTCGGATGCTGATGTAGAATGCAAATGTTGATCCTTCCCCTTTTGCGGAGCTCACACCAATTGCTCCACCTTGTAGTTTGGTGAGCGATTTGGAAATGAAAAGTCCAAGGCCCGATCCGCCATACTTGACGTGTGTTCGAGGCGTCGTTTGTGAGAAGCGGGCGAATAGTTTCTTCTGCTCCTCCATGGTCATGCCGCACCCAGAATCTTGCACTTTGAGCCACAGGAATGCTTTGCGGCCATGCCCCCATTCCGGCTTGTCCGTGATATTGATGTTATCGCGTTCATCATCGCTAAATGTGATTTCCTGCCAGCATTTAGGTGGCCTGGTCCATGACGCGCCGATCGTAACAGCAATTGTCTTCCGAATGCGGTCCTTGGTGAATTTGATGGCGTTAGTGCTATGTCTGTTAGCAGATGTTGTAAAGAATTGTTTAATCAAACTAACAGCAGGTTGATGAGAACTTGTAATAGACGCGAAGGGTCTAACATCGCCCACTCTATACCTTTGAACGTCTCGTCCACATGGAAGGTAAGTTTGATATCTGACTGGCTACATTCGACCTCGAACATCTTTACAGCATCCGAGACTACTATGGCGGGCTGTACACGCATCGGCGTAATCAATATCAGATCAGAGTCGAGCTTTGACAGTGTAAGAACGTCGTCAATCACGCGCTTCTGGTGCATTGAACATGACACAATGATCAGCAATGACTCGATACAGCTTCGAATCTCTGCTGAAACTTTTGCAGGACTCAAACTCTGGCCAGGCGCTTTAAGTTCTCGAGATAGCAACTGCTGCAATGAAGCAATGACTGAATCGGCACACTGTATGACGGCGGAAAGGGGATTACGCAATTCGTGAGAGGTCATGTCGATAAAACTGCCACAGTTAGTGAGTTCCCAAGTTAATTTCATAGACATCGCTATACTTTTCTTGTTGTCGTTTCGCCTCCCATGCTTCCTCTATCCGGCGACGTTGAACATCTTCGGCCCATTTGAATTGCGAGATATCAAACAATGTTCCCATTATGCCTACCACTGTTAGCGAGAGAATCCGGAGATTTATGTGACTTTTACTTACTAATAACTTTGCCACTCTCGTCGAGCTCTGGATAGCTTGAGCTTTGCACCCAGATGTTCGAGCGCATTCCATCCTGGTTGACCCAAGTCTTTTTTAACCGAAACTGCACTCCATTAGACTTTCCACCTTTGAACATGTTTTCCCAGTCGTTCTTGACTCTGGATACATCTTCATCTGAGATGAGATCGAACCACTCGAATTGGTTCACCGGTGCATGAGCATGGCCAGTCAATTCGAAGAATTGATCATTTACAAAGTTCATGCCTATTGCAAGATTAGTAAGAGTCAAATCCTCAACAAATATAACATACCACTCTCAGGAACGTAAATGTATATTGCTACCGGAGATACCTGGGCAAAACGGGCGAATTTCATCTCTGCCATTCGTGCTTGCTTGAGAGCCTCGACCTGTGCCTGTGCTGCTGCCTGTGACTTTTTCTGGGCGTTGATGTCGATTGTATTGCCAGCAATACTTATCAGGTTTCCTTCATCGTCGAGAACAGGCACACAAGCTGACAGCACCCACTGGGCAGTATCCGTTGATCCAGGGCGCGGTTTCCAACGCATCTCGAAAGTGACGGATCTGCCAAGAGCCAGTCTATTCCACATGGACATGACTAATGCCTGATCTTCAGGGTAAACGAGGTCCATAAAAGAGAACTCTGAATGCTCAAGTATCCCAGGGTGAGAGCTGGAGGATGTCAGTCACGTGATTTCTCGAAAGCTGATGCCGCCGTTGCACATACCTGAGCCTATACCAAGCCTCATTTGCATGCATCAGTTTTCCTGAAGAGTTGTATTCGAATACCCCCACATCGCTCATCTCCATCATCGTCTGAATGCTTTCCCATCTGGCATTAAGGTTGGTAGTGGGCAGGCTCTTGAGTGACTTTGGTTTCTCAGGTTTGACTTGTTTGTCGAGATCCGTCCTTGAGCGTGAGGAAATCAGGCCTCGATCATTACTAGAATGGCCATTTCTATTTGCCTTTTCGTCTAATGATTGTTGATCTTTTTCCGGGGTTTCGGAGCTGATTGCTCTTATTATCTTCCAGCTGCCAGACCGGCCCGCGTACTCTACAACCCATCTTCTGCTGAAGAAGTAGTATTCTGGTTTAAAATCGCCCAAAGCCAGTGTCCACGATCGGAAGAGGAGCGCTTCCCTGCCTTGAGCTAGGATAGGACCGCGCAGATCAAGTGCCCGGAATGGTTGGTTGCAAAAAGCAATATCGTATTCCGGTGTAATCTCACCAATCTTGATGACAAACAGCGGGGTCTTTTCCGACTCGAGCTCTTCCAGATCCAAGAGGCGAGAGTGGGAAGGATCGGCTGATGGCATCCCGATCCGATTTCGGCAATGCTCAACCGGACATGCGTATAGAAGGGTTTCTGCAAATGGCCACGAGTGTGAGCTATCCAAACATGTAAACAGGCTGGCTGAGGATATGGGTAGGGTGTAGGTGCAGAGATGGAGGAATGCCTGAGCGCTCCGCGGAATGTCGTGGCGAGGATGCCGTTCAATATCGTTCCTCCGCTAGGGCAGTCGAGAGCCGAGTCTTTGAGCTGGACTTGTCGCCACAAACATGTACATAAATTCCGAACACGCGATGAATGCACAGGGACAGAAGGGAGGATTTCTATGTGGTGGCAAAAGCAGATTGGCCCGCTCTAGACTGATTACCCAAGCGGTGTTGTTGGCAAAGCTACACCGGCGAACAGCTCCAGGCGAGGAGGCATGGGAGATGCTGGCTGCAGAAGTCGACCGATCGTAGATCGACTGGCTGCCTGAGATGTAGAAAACTTGACGGAAAAGTAGACGCGTGGCGCCATTGGGCCTCGAGCCGATGGTACAAATCTGACACGCACGCTAGTTGCATCTCGACCGCCATTGTAGAGTGCCCACCCCACGGCGAGGCTTGCAAGAACCAAGGTTGTCTCCAAGGCGGCTCATCTACCACAGCCCTGCCTCCCGTCACGATCGATCCCTGCCCCTTTTATAGTGGAGTCTTGTTCATGTGGCACCGTATTTTTTACGCTGCACGAGATGAACTTAATCGTTGCACATGTGCTGACAATAGTCTGTGTAGCTCGGTTGACAGGAGGGGAAAGTTGGCGGAATTAGTGCGGGCAGAAGAAGCATTTCTGGGTGTGATGTAATGCCTGTTTCAACATCACTGAGACCCGCCGGAAGCAATTCCCTGTATTGCGTTGTGTATTCAACAGGTAAACCTGACAGTCCATGTACATCAGCCCAATGGTCGTAATTTTTGCTCCATTCGGAGAGTCGACTGGGTAGACTTCTGGAAGACTTCGCCGTGGACCAACCCATTGGGCATCTCCAATCACGTGCCGTCGCGTTTCCGATCTAGCGCGAGACTGCCCGAACACCACCGAGTCGTGTTCTTCACCACCTCAGCCACGATCCCTGGTAGTGGCTACGTTCTAAAACTGCTAAGCTTTCGTCACACGTGTCTTCTGGTATGAGTGATGACGAATTTGGCTGGTTGTCTGGGGACGATGAATACCTCGCTGCCACTGCGGCTCTCGACCCCCCTGGTGCAAAACGGAAGCTCAATGACGACAACTCTGATAGAGTGCCATCGCCCAAGCGATCCAGATCTGATCTGAAAACTGATACAACCCCTTCTCCCAGTACTGCACTCGCAAACAGGATTCTCAAGGAGCGCTTTGGTCTAAACAGCTTTCGCCTTGAACAGGAGAAGGCTATCACACGAATCCTCGATGGAGGTAGCGCAGTAGTCGTATTTCCCACTGGAGGCGGAAAAAGCCTCTGCTATCAAGTGAGTTCGAACGTCTGGTTTTGAGACGCTTAGTTAATGTCTCAAGGTACCTGCAGTTGCTTTTAGGTATCAAGATGAGCAGCTCAAACAACGCACTGCCGGGCACAGCGGTGTCACTCTAGTCATCTCTCCGCTGATTGCTTTGATGAAAGATCAAGTTGACGCTCTTCTGCGTCGTGGCATAAAAGCCGCGGTATTGAACTCTTCCATTTCACGCGATCAATTTCTGGCTGCACAAGATGATCTCCGAAATGGACGTCTGGACCTCATCTACTGTGCTCCGGAACGGCTTAACAGCGAGGGGTTCATTGCTTCACTCAAAAACATACCTGGAGGCATTCGACTGCTTGCAGTCGACGAAGCCCATTGTATTTCAGAGTGGGGTCATTCTTTCCGCCCAGATTACCTCAAGATAGCTCGATTTGCAAAGGAAGCTCAAGTAGAAAGAGTCATATGTTTGACAGCAACCGCAACCCCAAAAGTTGCCAAGGACATTCGAAATGCCTTTGACATTCCCGAAGAAGGCCTATTCAGAACGACAATGTATCGCCCCAATCTCCGTTTACTAGCTGAAGCAAACACCAAAGATGCCGATTACGTAGCCAAGCTTGTCGCCCATCTCAGAAAGCACCCAGGTACGACTATTGTATACGTGACGATTCAGAAAGGCGCCGAAACACTGGCTGCAGAATTACAAGCACAAGGTTTCAACACCAAAGCATACCATGCGGGTATGCCCGCTGCAGTACGGTCAAAGACACAGGATGAGTTTCTCTCTAGCACCGACATGATTGTAGTCGCCACCATAGCCTTTGGCATGGGCATCGACAAGTCTGATATCCGCAACATTGTGCACTTTGACATACCCGATAGTATTGAGTCTTACAGTCAACAAATCGGAAGGGCAGGTCGAGATGGAAAGCCGAGTGTCTGCATGTTCTACCTATCCACAAAAGACTTTTACTTACGCAACATCTTCACATATGGCGACCGACCCTCCCTGCGCTCGCTAAAACTTCTAATGCAAGATATCTGCTCGCCAGACCGCGCATACCTCAAAGCGGGAGACACCTTCACCCTCTCCCTATATACGCAAAGCCAAGAAGCAGACATCAAACCCATTGTCCTCGGTATCCTCTACGCCCAACTAGAACTCCAATTTAACCTCTTCCGCGCTGCCGGCTCCCTCTACACAAAATACATGTACATAACCAAAGATGCAGCCACCCTCCTCAACGACACCTCCCCCGCCGCATCCGCAATCCGCAAAGCTGCCACCAAAGCCAGCAAATGGACGCACGTAGCCCTAGACGACCTAGCAGCTTCAAGCGGCATCGACCGTGCCGATCTCGTCCGTAAAATCGACGAATGGAACGAACGCGGCGCAATCGAACTCAAAAAAGAAGGGGTACAAAATACATACCGCCTCGAGCGCCCCTTACCCCAATCTCCCACAGAAATAAACGACATCGTACAAAAGCTAGACAAAAGCATGCAAGAAACCGAGACCCAGAATCTCGGCCGCACACGCGCGCTAATCGATCTAATAACGGCAAAACGCTGTTTCGCAAATAACATGGCAGGGTACTTTGGCGATGCGGAGCACGGCATGAAGGAATGCGGTCATTGTACGTGGTGCGAGACGCATGTGCAGGTTGTGCTTCCTGATGAGCCGGCGCAGCCGCCTGACCCCGTCAAGGTGAAGCGGGTGCTGGATGCAGTGGCGATTCGAGATGATGCGAGGATGTTGGCTAAGCTTGCGTTTGGGGTCAAGAGTCCGCGCATGGGGGCGCTCAAGTTGTATTCGTTGGATGTGTTTGAGTCAATGAATGTGTGTGAGTTTCCTGAATTGCTGAGGGTGTTTACGGAGGCTTGTGAGAGGGATGGGGGAGGAGGGGAGTAAGAGGGGAGAGGATTTTGATGTTTGCATACGTTGGTTCCATCCTTGTTTGATAGCGATACCCAGTATGCAAGAGTTTCGTGGAGTATTATATGTATAGATTGAGCGTATCGTATACTTTGTGGGTATCGTATTTACAGATAGATGAAGAGGGATGTCTCGTCATGATTCTCAAGTCACTTTAGAGTTCCTTCTTCAACTTATTCGCCTCGGTCTCCTCTTTCCTCAGCTCCTTTGCTCCAATCACTGGTCTCCCCTCGACAGCCTTCTCGCCTCCAAATGTCTTGAATGCATTGTAGAAGATCCACTCAGTTGCGTGCTCAACGGGCTCATCAAACACATAGGGTAAGAAAGGAACGGCCGCAAGACCCAGCTATTATGTGTCAGTACTCTCTCAACCACATACACTGGACGATGGAACATGACTTACCCCAATTGGCCCCCAGGTCCTTAGCGTCTTGTTCTTTGCATCCTTGAGCGCACGCCCAGAATACCTGACAATGCTGTGGATGGTGAAAGCTGGCAATCCCATCGAAGCCACAGCCTGGAAGACCGCTCGCTGCGCCATGACAGCCCTGTAATCCTCAATGGCCGGTATACGCCCTGGAACGACCTCTCCACCCGTCAGTGGACTAGCGGCGCCGCCATACTTGACGCCTTCAGTGCTCGTCGCATTCTTCGCCAGATCCTGCACCTTATCAAAGATACCCGAACCAAACGACTTCCCCGTCGCCGCCATATCCTTGTCCTTCTGTTCCCCGAGCGACTTATCCGCAGCCTCATCGATGAATTTCTCAGGGTGCAGAGTACGCTGGTTGCGGCAATAGGCTTTGTAGCCTTCATGGGCGACGTCACCGGTGAGATAGAGCCAGGAGATGCCGTATGCGCCTTTGACCAGGTAGGGGTGGGCGACTGGACGGAAGGATTCGCCAATGTCAGAGGTGTAGGCTACATAGCGGTGCGCAGAAAGCATAATGGTGCGAATGCGCGAGGCGTAGGCTGCATAGCGGAGAGATGTATCCGTCGTGTCGTCGCCTCTGTCGTCGCGTGTTAGCTATCATGAGGAGCAGTAGGCAGAAGCCATCTGCACATTGCGATGGATGTATGCGATTTGGCAGTTAAAAGGTAACATACTCGCCATCGTACATAACCTCCCACAGCTTCTCCTCATTATTGAGCGTATCCTGAAGCTCCTTAGGAAGCTGTTTCCTCGGCGGCGGAACCGAAAAGTCAGGACGCGCTCCCCGTCGCTCTACAGGCACACCATCCACCTCTTCTACCTTCTTATTCGCATCTTTAGCCATTCCGACACAATCGCAAGTATTCAATCCGAAGTCTTGTCTACAAAAGGGTAAAGAGCGTTAGTAAGAAAGAATAGACTCCACACGCAAGTCTTATCATCGTACCACTCGGCAACCTCGGGACCTTTAGCCAACAACCAACCAACCCACCACCTCAGCCGCACGTCATAATCCTTATTTCCCCCCCCCACCTCCTACCATCCCTGTCGCGCAGCCACACCAGCCACAGCTCCTCAGCCACATTTTCTTCGCCCGCCAAGCCACGCACCTCGTTCTTCCGAAGCAGACCAGCAAGCTCCGAACTGCAACGAACCCGTTCTCTACCCGCCCGCCCGCCATCCATTGACGCATCCGCATCTCATATCCTCCCTGCGATTTTCCCCTCGGAACGGATCACACAGCCTTCACTACCGCAAAGATGGTTGCTATGTACACGATTTTCGGCCGCCAGGTCGGATCGCACGTTGTATGTCCTGTTTTCTCTATCCCCAGTGGAGCTTCCTCGGCTGCAAAGGAAAGACGCCGGAGGACAATCAATTGAAGGCATTGGTGTTTCCTGTGTTGCAGTCGCAGCAATTGCTCTCTGCATTCCGGCTTCTCTGGGAAGGGATAAGGTAGAATTGATGGGTAGATCAAGAAGATGGGGCTAACGAGATATGAATAGCTTGCGATTGCTACGCTCGCCACCACATTCACCGGTGCTGCGCTCTCGATGGGCGGAAAGAAGGCCGAGGACTCCACTACGCCTCCTATCAATGCGAAGAGCAGCGAAGAGGAGAACTTTGTCAAGTGCGTTTTTTTATCCCCTCCTTGCATCTTTTCCTTACCGATAGCTTCGGGTACCATTGCAGCGAATACAGAACTGACAAGTACTGTTTGTACAGGGAGTACGTCAAGAAGGCCGCAGACAAGGTCTCAGGAAAATAAATAAGCGCACCGTTTCGACCGCAAGAGGAAAGATATGGCAGTAGTATAACCCCCATTGTGACGGATGGACATATACCTACCCAATATACCACGGTTTCGCAGGGGGAGGGGGATGGTTTTTTTTGACCTCTCTGCAACGTTAGACGGAGCAAGAGGGGAAAAGAAAAAATTTGTGTAGATAAAAGAATGAAGCCGATTTGGGGATATCGAATGACCAACAAAACAAAACGAAAACACATCATTTGTATACATATGTTCTCATTGCTAAAAACAGCGTAGATTGTACGTTGCAAACCCATCATACCTCAAGAAGACACGAAGAACAAAACATGGGAATTGAAGGGAAGAAGGGGGGGTATCATTCGATACTACAACAAGGCAACCAAACACGCCAAAAACACTCTCATCCAATGCACCATCCCCATCATGCAACCCCACATAACCCCAAAGCAAGTCGTATTTCTTTCTTACAAAACTCACTCGCCTCCATCTTCGCTCTCGCCTTCGTCCTCAAGCACAACCTTTTTATTCATACTATCCAGGACCTTGCAATAAAACTTGACAGCCTGCGCACTGGGGAAGCAAATTTCTTCCGTAAGATAATCTGGTAGGATATCCAGGAGTTCCTTGTCGCGCTGTTCGTCGAGGAGGGGTTGGTATATAAATTCTGTTTCTTCGGCGGGGCTGGAGCCGGGGGCGACGGTGAGGTGGAAGTGGAGGGCTTTTTTTGTATTTGTTAGTTTGTTTGTTTTTGAGCGAAAGGTAGGTTGGAGGGGGAGGAATGGAAACTTACTGCGACCACGACCTGTTTGAAGACAATCATATACATCTTCTCCTTCGTCTGATTTCTTGACGCTCAAAACGACGAGGTTGGTCAAGTCGCTGTACAGATCGACTTTTTGGCGTGCGAGGGTTGCTTCCTTTGCGGCTTCGACGGTGCCGGGGAGGACGACGCCTGTGGTTCGGGGTTTGACGGCGCTGCCGGGCACAGTCTTAACGTCTGGCTGTATTGTTGATGAGGATCGAGCTGCTGCGAGTTTAGATGAGAGCGTCGTGTTTTCGTTTTGTGCGGCTGTGAGGGACTCGGCGAGTTTCTTGTTTTCGGCGGCGAGACGTGCGGATTCTTTGGAGGCGGCGGCGAGTTCTTTCTTGAGTGAGGCGAGGTCTGCGGTGCGGGATTGTGTGTCGGAGACTTGCTGTTTCAGAGATTTTATGACGGCGTCTTGGTCTTTGGTGATCTGGTCGGTCCGCTTCTTTAGTTGATCAAAGTTGGATTCTTTTCCAGATGATGCTGCTTCCTTGAGAGCTTCGTACTTGGCTGTCATGGCGTCGAGCTTCTTCGTGAGGTCTCCCAGTTTCCGGCGCATAATGGGGTCTCGCTCAGAGTCTGATATGCTTCCTGTCCGCCTCACTCCAGCAGATGTCCGTCGTGCCCTACTATTCGGTTGTGCATGTGTTCGGCGTGCAGAAGGCCGCACCGGTGGTGGCATGCTCTCTGGTATCTCCTCTATTTCTATCGACTCTGAAATATCCATAGTTTCTGTGTCTAGTTCTGGCTGTGTCTCCGGGATGATCATCTGCTCCGGCTCGGGTTCGGATTCGAGCGCGCGCTTTGTTCCTCTTGACTTTGCAGTTGTCTTGGGCTTGGTCTCCTTCTCTGCTCCCTCCTTTACTGCTGCTTTGCGCCCTCTCTTTGCCGGCACTGGCACTGATTCCTCCTCGCGCTTCTCTTCTTCTTGCGCCTTCTTTGCTGGCCTGCCTCTCTTAGTCGACTTGGCCTGTGGCGCTGGCTCCTCTTCCTCAACGTCCGCCGCTTCGTCGCTATCGCTTCCGTTCGCATCATCCTCCTCTGCCTGCGCCTTGCGCCCAGCTTTTGTGGTCGCTTTCTTTACTGCTCCATTACTCTTCTTCGCAGCTGTCGCATTAGTTCCGTTTGTTGCGCGCGCCGCGGGCCGTCCCTTAGCAGGCGCCTTGGTCGTAGAGGCGCCCGCCTTTGATTGCGCAGCGTTTCCACGCGCTTTGCGACCTGTCGCTTTGGTGTCGCCGTTGGACTCAGGTTTTTGGGTCGCATTGAGCTCGTCTACCGTCATTTCGTCTTCCGAGGCGGAGTCGACAGTGAAGGAGATGTTTGCGACTTTGCTGCGGGGCGCCATCTTGTTGTCGCTTTGAAAATGTTGCGTGTGGTGGGCAAGTCCGTGGCACTGCTTGGGTGTTTGGCGGGATGATGGTGGAGTAGCATGCATGTAAACATGGTCCGAGCGTCGTTCCCAGGCACAGCGCGTTGCTTTCAGCTTTCTGCATGTGACCATGACGGGACTATGGGAAACGACAATCACATCGTCATGGCATTCATCTTGCAAACTATAAAAAGCTTTCATTTAATTGACGAGCATTACTCATCATCATTAGTAGAAACTATATACATATGTGCGACATAACCATTCGCGTCTCCAAGTCCAGGTATCATTCCAATAACTCATCTCCATAAAACAAAAAAGCCCACAAGAACAGCGCACTCGTAAAATTCGTAAAACTTATACTCACTTTTCACATTACTTACCGTGAGAATTAAAGCAGGACCCGTCTAGCGGCCCACACTGCTACCACCCCAGTTGCTAGGCGCCATGCTACTAAGCTTGCTTGAGATTGTGCTGCCCGAAAACCAGCTGGATGACACGCCGCCACCGAAACCGAACTTCCACCACTTGTTCCTGCCATACTTCCTGCCACCACCCAGACCGGTCCTATTGCTCTTCTTGTCGTCAATCTTGTCCTGCCACTTGAGCTTCGTCTCCATAATGGCATGGATCGAGTTGATGATGAGGAAAGTGGTGGACCCAATGGCACGGAAGACGGCGAGAGCAGCGACAGCCCACAAGATGAACGTGAGGTAGAAGTTGTTGGTGACCTTGCGGTTGCCGTAGGCTTCACTGATAGACATGGCGAGAATGGCATTGGAGATAAGCCAGATGACGACCATGTACGTACGCACAGCGCGGTAGTAATCTTCCTGCTGCTGCGATTCCGAAATCGGGGGCTCAGGTACTTCGACACGGTCACGCAGGTTACGAAGCGCCTCGTCGTAGCCACTGTCAATGTCGAGTTGCTCGGACGGCATCTCGAGTTCAACAACGTTCTTCGTCTTTGCGCGGGCGTCTCCAAGATCCGTCTTTGCCACGTTGTCACCCTTGGTTCCCCATGTGATGTCGTGCGTGTTGCAGAAAGCGTACACCTGGAGCGTTGCAATGTACGAAGGCAGGAGAGCAAAGTACTGCGCGCTCGAGGTGAACATGTGCCAGGGATCCAGATACATAAAGGACATGAGAAAGTAAAGCCCAATGGTGGTTGCTGTTGAGATGATGAGGTTGGTAAAGGTGTTTGAACCTATCGTCTTCTCGGCTTTGGGATCTTTCAGCTGGACAATGACAATGTAGAAGGAAGCAAAGGTCGTGTATGCCATGATGACGCCATACATGACCATACTCCAGAAGAACATCCTCTTTGCACCCTGAGGTCGGTTACCCATAGACAGGATAAACTGCATACAGATGAGTAGCGTGCATGTGTATCGCAGGATGTAGAAGATGTATTTGCCAACGTTGTGTCCGAAGGGGTCCATTTCAGGATCGGCAAGGGAGCCAGCGACGAAATAGAAGGTAAGGTAGAAGTTGGCCAGCGAGAAGAAGGTGAATAGCAGTTGGACGAACTGATAGACGAACTCGATGTGGAGGAGGATCTTGCGCCAGATAGTGTGGTCAGTGGCCCACACCTGCTTCCAGTGGAGCAGCGAGTACACGGCAGCAAAGAAGGCACCGTTCAGCCAGCGACGACGCTGGGAAATGAACTCGGGAACCGCATCTGCAACCATATTAGTAGATGGTCCTACAAGGGCGATGAGTGTCTATCTTACCTGGCACATCCGTCTCTCCAGTGGCCGCCTTAACATACTTCAGAACCCATTGTTCGCTTCGCTTTGCCACAAGCTCCCAACACAGAATACGATCCTCAGCCAAGTACATGTTGGCCGTGAACACGTCTGCATCTTGACCGTGAAGCGTTTCTCCTTTGAAGTACTGGCTAAGGGGTCCATGCCCAGTGTGATCGTTCTGCAACGCGTGATAGCGATAAGCCGACAGTGCACCTGGCAACACAGTAATGTAGCCAAAGACCGACTCCAATGGCTTGTCGAGAATGTTGGACATCTTGTACTCGAAGTTTTGCGATGCAACAAGCGGATTGAGAAGACCAAGCCAGGCTTTGCCCTTGCCTGCTGTGATCTCACCAGCTGCTCCCGCGACCGAAGAGTCGGTGTCAAAGGCCTTCCACAAGTGGTACAGCGCTTTGGGGCCTGGCTTGGTTCCGACATCGAGCAAGATGCAAATATTGGGGTTGAGTGCGCGTCCAAAGGCATTGAAGAACCAGCGATGCGAGTTCAGTTTCTTAGAGTTTTGTTCCTTCAAGCAGAAGATCATCTGACATGGCACGATACCCTTCTCAGCACCCTTGAACTTGAGGTCAGAATCTAGAGAGACTTGGGTTGTGTATTCGTAGACGTGGGCTGTGACTTCCTTCTGGTTGACGTGGTTCTTCGCAATACCCTCCTGGAAGCAGCCCATGGCAGCAATGGCGTCAAGCGTTCGAGGGTGAACCTTTCCACGACCATCGGCAATGATGCACACGACAATCTTCTGCCATCCGTCTTTGCCCCAAGTTCTGGATTTCATACGAGAGCAAAAGTGGCTGATGTTCTGCATGACACCGTGCATTGTACGAGTAAAGTCGATTTCGTTCTCGTTGTACATGGTAATGGCGATGAAGACCTCCGTCTCACGTGGGTTGCCAATGTTCTGGCGCAATTTGTAGCCACGGTCCACAAAGTCGTCAGGGTCGCAGGTAACGGCCGTGTATCGCATGTGCGTAAACTCAATGTCGTCTCGTCGCGGAAGGAAACTGTAGAGAATGGTGGGGATCTTGCACTCGAGAATGAGTTCACCGTTGATCAGGCGAACTTCCTTCTTCGTCATGACTGCGTCTCGCGCACCACGTCGGGCCTGCGCACCATCTGGAGCAGGTCCGTAGTGCTCCGCCTTTTCGTCTACTTCGGTGTAGACGTCTGTGTATGTGTCGTCGGTCAGATAAGAGTCTCGCGAGCGCAACTCTGGTCGATCGTCGCCCATCTCGGTGAATGGGTCATCGTCGTCATGCATGGGTATTGAGCGCATGTCGCTCATGTCCATGGTGCGCTCCGAATCGCGGGAGCCAGGCCTTCCGCCAGCAGTGAACAGAGGCTGGGGTGGCAATGGCCGCTGAGGGCTGCCTGGTCGCGGACTGCCATGGAGGTCGTATGGCTCGTAGGAATTTACTGAAGCAGGCGGTCGCGAGTAGTCGACTGATGTGCGTGTGGGTGAATACGGCCGATCAGGCGATATTGACCGTCGATAGGGGACGTAGTCGTCATCAATTGGAGGGGGCATGTTGGGGGCATTGTCCATTAATGAGGGTGTCCTCGACAGGCTGGATACTGAAGATGGTGATGGGTGGTACATGCGCGATGTTGGCTGGGGTTGTCTGTGAGAGTGATGGGTCGGTAAGTCTGGGTCTTGCAATGGTGTTGTTTTTGAAGGCGACATCCAGCCGATGGCTTGTTGTCTGAATGACTTTCTGCCTGCTGAGTTTGTTTGCGCTGGCGCCGCGCTTCCAGTCGCATTGAGCGCATTGCCAGCCTCACGCAAGAAGTCGTGGATTTCGGCCTCGGCCTCCCTCTGCTTGCCCGCCTCAGAGGGCGTCATGTGCGTGCCCAGGGCCGCAGCGGTGCTATTTGCGGTCGACATGTTTGAAGTGTCCTCGAAGGAGCGTCTTCTGGTACAGGAATGAGATTGAGTCCACAAACGTGGGACGCAAGTGAATGTGAAAGTGAAGAAACAAGGAAAACTAATACTCACGACACATAGCTTTGGCTATCGTCCACGTTTGTCAACAAACGCATGGTTGAGCCTCCTTGGAGCTGAGGGGAGCCGTCTTCGTCGTCATATGCAGGTGGCCGTCCATAGTGTGCACCACCTGGGGTGGTGGGTCCGTTCATGATATGTCGGTGAGTCGTGAAAAAAAGGAAAAGAGAGTCCAAGATGTGGTAGAAGCGTCGTACTCTTTCTCTAGTGTCACTCGAAGAGCGATTGCGACGTCGGGAATACTAAATTAATGTTTCTGGGGAATCGATGCAGTCGCTGGGCTCTAGAGTTAATGCGAGGCGGCACATCCGGCGGTGTTGTTTCTTCCACGGTTGTCGTGCCAACACTCCGCCCAGCCCTAGAGCCGCCAGGTACGGCCCCCAGACTTGACCCACTTCAGGCTTAGACCGTTGCACACCAGCATGGCAACCATTATTCGTCCGCAGCCGCGTGGGACGGTGCACGCTGTCGTGGTCAATTGGCTGGAGATCGCCGTCCGTTACACGGTTAGCGGTTGTGTGGTTGTCCTGGGAGACGCCTGATCCGTCACACCGTGTACGATTTAGGGCTGAAGCACGTCATACAGGTCCATGCATATGTGAACAGGGCGTTTGCAGGATACTGCGGCGCTGTTGAGAGACAGTGTGCATTAACGTGCAGAAATCTAGATTTGCTTCTGTCTACGTCCTGAGAATGCCTGCAAAATATGCTTCCACCCCCTCTAGTCCCGCTTCATCGAGCGTGTCAATGTATCCTACATACTGGTCTGGTCTGGCGACTACGACGCAGCCCTTTTCTCTGTCCACACCGTATTTCTTGTATGCATCTGCAAATGCTTCGTAGTAGTTACCATCATCCACATACACCGAGTCATAGTCCCATCCAGTCTTAGGATCAAAGGGATGCAGAACATCGGGGAAGTCTCTTAGCAGCTCGACCTCGATACGCTTGGATGAGTGCAGGGTGAGCACATCAACGTCCTTGATGAGCCGCGGAGCCAGGAGTGGTGATGATGAGAGGCGTTGGCAGAAGCCCTTTAGGCGAGTACTCTGCTCTTGGTTGACAACATTGCCGGCAAAGACGATGATGCGGAATCGTCCGTCGCTCTTTAACTTCTGCTGGAACTCCCATGCCCGGCCGTCTGACTGGTTGAGAACCTGGTGGCTCGGGAAACGCATACCTATCTTCGTCTCCGAGGCGAGTTCTTGCTTGCCAATGACTTGTGTCTTGGACGATACATCTGTTCCATCGCCCTGTTCCGCGGCATTGCCTGGTTTGCCCACTAACATGCTTGTGCCATAGTCGACCGAAAGACCAGCGGCGAATAGACCGCCTAAGTCACGTCAGCATATTTTGTGGTTTAGAGATTCAGTACTTACCCTTCTGGAATGCCTGTTTGAACTCGTCCATGCTTACACCCTCTTCGTCCATGAGATCCTTGGCCGGTCGGCCAGAGAAGAGTCTTGAAAACTTGTGATCGAATGCAATGAGATCCTGGGCAATTCGTCTCCGCTCAGACTGGTACGTTTTGAGTATACTTGGTTGAGCCACGCCCTTGACTACCAGTCCCAATTTCCAGCCCAGATTGTAGGCGTCCTGCATGGATACATTCATCCCCTGGCCAGCCTTTGGGGAATGGGTATGAACAGCATCGCCAGCCAGGAAAACGCGGCTGTCGCGGTCAAAGTTCTTGCCTACTCGTTGGCCGATTTGGTATGCGGTCCACCAGTCGCAGTATTCATATGTCAACTTGTAGGGTGCAATGATCCGTTGTGCCGCTTTGATGATAGTATCTGGGGTGATTTTCGACCTGTCTGCCCGACCACTAGCATCTGGTTTGATTTCCGTGAGCTGAATGTACAGTCTAGTAAGTTTGTTCTCCCGCGGAATGATCATCATTGAACCTGAAGACGCGCTATGTATGGCACAACGCTTTCGAACATCGGGAAAATCTGTGATGGGAATAATGTCGAGTACGCCCCAGATGTGGTCTGTTGGCTCTCCTTCAAGCTCGAAGCCCAGCTGCTTTCGGGTCCAACTGTGAGCGCCGTCGCACCCAACAACGTATTTTGCCCTCACAGTCTCTGTGCTACCGTCTTTCTGTCTGCTATTTGCGATTAAATCTTGGGTATCATCATTTGCCAGATTGCTCCGGAAAAGGGCGTCATTGATGCTGGAGCCCTTGCTCTGGGCGGGCATGGCCTCCTCTTCAGTCAGATACCGCAGCTGCACGGTGATGGGATAGTTGTCCGGTGAGTGGTCGTTTACTTGGTCTTGGTCGATATGGAGCGATTCGGGAAGCACGCCACGCTCTACACGTAGGGTATCCTTCGAGTGCTTCTTGATGTGATCGAGGAAGAATCGCTCGATACGGCCCTGGTGGAGAACAATCTCCTTGAATCGGGAGATTCCAGGAACAACATCTGGGATTTGGTCGGACCGACGTATGACACCGTCTTCACCGGGGTTCTGTATACATTAGGAGATGTCGAAAGAGGTGATTTCTGCAGACTTGCCCACATGCAAAACTGCGAGGTCGTTAGTCAAGTCGAGCCAAGTTGGTGAACAAGTATACCTCTATCAAATGATTCGCCTCCTTCCACGCTCTATCGGCGAATCCAAAACTGTCAAAGATTTCCAGACTCCGCAATTGCAGCCCATCTGCCTGTCCAGAGTAAATCTTGGTGCCTCGCTTATCGACTATGCGAGCGTCGATGCCACATCTTGCCATCCAAGTAGCAAGCATCAGACTAAACCAGGTCAGTCACTTACATATGGCAGTTTGAGAGGCAAGTACGTACCCTGCTGGGCCAGCACCAATAATTAGACTTGAAAGCTGTTAGCCGTTTTTCAAGATGCATTGAATTAACAGACTGACACATCGCATTTTGACTCTGGTGCGTCCGAAACTGCCATGGTGGAAGATTATTTCGTTGATATGCCTTTGAGTATCTCTGTATCGGTGCAATCAGGTGAGGGATGTGGTGTTACCCCGCTCTAATTAGTGTATGATGCGCATAAGATTCGACAACGAACAGACTCAGGGTCACATTCTTATATAGGTATCTGCGACCAAGTTTTGATTATAACCGGGAAAGGACACGGCAGTGGATACCAAATGTATCGGTAGTTCCTACACTGTGAGGACCTGATCGCGACAGGTGCGCGACTATCCCACATGACACCAAGTTTCAACGGAGGCGGGGCGGGGCAGATGGCCGGTGGAGACTTTGCCGGAAATTCTGATTCGTATATTTGGTCGTGGAGGTGCGGGTCTGTGACATAGTGCAGAGCAGTATTTTAGGCTTTGTCAAGGCTTTGTCAGGTATACATAACAGAGACGGGGCGGTCGAGGCTGACGACGATCTTACAAAATCACTATATGCTACATATTTGATCTATGTCCGCCACTCTGAAAACAAGTATAATGCGAGAGAAATGCATGTGGCAATCAGAACGTCGACATTGCTTGCCCTTCTTGCTTATGCGCAGAGAAGATACATTCCAGCAAAGGGGAAATATCTTATTTATTATCTTAGTCATTTCATATACGGCCGTACGAAGAGGAAACCCAATCCAACCTCAGTCGCCTCCGTAGGCATGTCTAAACTTTGGTTCATCGAGAAAAGGTTGAGCCGGAAATTGCGCATGTCGTAAGCAGCACATGAAGCTAGTGCAATAAAAAGTCATGATTGTAAGTTCAGTCCAATGACTGGCCTTGATAAACCCCAAAGCCATATAAGGTTCAAGACATGCTGGGTAGCATGCTTCTCAAGCTTGCGTAACCTCAATGTGTTATCCTCTCAAGAGAGCAAGACGTGCGATATCTAGGTTGCCGTCCAAATCCTTGTACCGGACGAGGCCATGCAATAGGGTCTAGAAATCTGATAAGAACTCTCAAGGGAGTGCAAAGATGATGTACATATGTAAGTGTCGAACAATTCGAGGGCAAGGCAATATGTTAGAGTTAGTGACTGATCAAGTGAAGTTTAAAAGCAAGAGGTCCTTCTGTTGAAGTTTGTGTCCTCATATGCGGGTTTGCCACGAGCATAGCTTACGGAGTGGCTACGGGTCTCTTTGTCCGCATCACAGTCAGACTGACGCTTGGCCTCGCAGTAGGTCACATCCAACATACTTGTATCATAATCATTTCCATGAGAAACTGGGGTATAATGCAAAAAGAGAAGGGGAAGGAAGAGTGAGCAGCGCACAGGGCCGGGTTCGATATCTGTGTGGCTGCAGAGATGGATCACGGGTTGAGAGAGACTAGTGGTCGTCGTCATCGAATTGGGAGGGCTGCAACTTGTCCAAGTACTTGGTCACTTGGGTGAGTCTCAGGTTGATGCTGGAAAGAAGTGGAGCCTGCACTTTAGCGCCGTTTGCTGCAGCCCGCTCGAAGCAAGCGTGGGCTTCCTTGAGCTCTCTGCGAGCATTGGACAAACGCTGGATTCTGTTTGAAACGGGCATGTTGCTGCTTGCGCTGATTCGTGCAGGAAATTCAGCATCCCAGTCTTCGTCGACGTCGAGTGTCCCGAGTGCAAGGTCGCTGATCCACAGGGCAACGTTGGCACGCAGTTGGAGAAGATTGGCCTGTCTGTCAAAGGGCGGTGATGAAATGACTTGGTCAAGACGCTCAGCAATCTCGATAGCCTGGGCCAGCTCGTCTGTACGGATTGCCTCTTCCTTTGCGCCAGAGTCATCCGGCCTTCCGGAAGCAGCACTGTCAACTGACATGCTCCTCGACGTTACGGATCGGTTGGCGAGTTCGTCCTGCAGCTGCATCTTTGCACGCTTGCTCTTTTCGCGTACCTCGTAGATCCACAACGAGAACATGGGTGGATAGAAGATGCGCTCGTCGACGGCATGTGGCTGGGTTTTCCGGGTTGGGTGCTGGACGATGAGGCGCTCGTAGTAATTTCGAGCCAGTTCGAAACCCTCTGGGGAGAAAAGGCTAGTTTGATGAGCAGGCTGGGGTGTGTCGTGGGAGTCTGGGCGTGGCGTTTGCGGGTTGCGTCGAAGAAGAATCTCGGCGCCGACACCCCATCGGCCATGGTTGCGAGGGTCGACGTGGGTTCCACCGGCAACTTGGGTGCGCAAGATCATGCCCCAGGCCCGACTGGCGCGGTCATAGTCACCCTTGAGCAGACACGAATGCATTAATGTGGAGAGGTTGTCGAGATGGGACCTTTTGAGGCCATCGTGGGGGTCGTGGGCCAGCGGGTGCGTGGGAGCGGGGTCGACAGCGTATAGATGGACAGGTGGGTTGGCCATTTGCTGTTGGATTCTAGTGGACCCATGGGGCTTTTTGAGAGTGCTGGCAGGCGCATGGGGGAAGGGTGGTGGAGGCACGTTGTGTGCGCGGTCGGGCAATAGGCCTGCGACACGCAGCTGGGCTTTTTCCGGGGCGGGCGAGACGGCGGTGGACGATTGGCCTGTGGTGCATGGATGTGCTTGCGGGAAGGGTGCTGGTGCTGGTGTGGATGGTGCTTCTTCGTCCTGGCCGTGAAAAAGGTCGGAATCAGAGTCGGAGCTGGCGCGGGCGGACGAGTCGGCGGGGTTCCTTTTGGAGGGTGCTTTTGCGGGTCTTTGGCAATGGACAGCGCGCAGGGAGACGGGCACGGTGTGCTGGTCGCGCAGGTGGGTGGTGAAGTACATATTGCATGGGTGTCTGTGGTGGTGGTGTTTGTGTGGCGGTGGTGGTGGTGGTGGTGGTGCCAGGCGGGCGGCGACCGAGGCGGCGGGCGTAGGCGCGGACCCCCTGCCCGGCGACACTGCAGCCAGGTGTAGTGTAGCACTCTACTAGCAGCAGTCGGGTACGTGGACGCGGACGAGGCGGTGAGAGTGGGAGCAGGATACGACAGGACAGGACCAGGAGATTGTCGTTTCTTAGCAGCGTCAAGCTGTCGCGACCTGTTTCATGGCTGGCCCGCCCGGGCAGAGGCAGGCCTGGCGGATGGCCGCTAAGCTTCTTTCGGCATAGCCGGTCCTGGGGCTGCGCTGCGCCATACGACGGTGGCCGGTGGCCGGCCTGGCTGGACTGTCCGCCGGTCGGCGTGTCTGTCTGTCTGTCTGTTCGATCATCGTGACTGTCTGCCTGCCTCTCCGTCTGTCTGTCTGTCTGTCTGTCTGCGAAGGCCACCCTCCCCCATCTTCCCCCCCGCCCGATGCCCTCGCACAATGGGCCAGGCACACTCCAGAGGCGCGACTGACGCCCCAAACCGGTCCAGACGACGCCCGCGCTCGTGGGCGCCTGGCCTGCTTGCCTCGTCCTCGCCCTCGCTGCCGCCCGTCACCGACTTGGACACGACCACCACCATCCGCCCCAACGACCGCTCAAGAGCCCCCTCACCACCACCCCCGCCAGCTTCCTCCCATGCACGCTTCTCCCGCCGCCTGTCCTCCCACCTGGGCTGGCTCGATGCCCGCAACGAGCCCCCGCCAACGCACCGCGAGCCCCCGCCCTCCCGCTCGCGCTCGCGCTTGCATAGAGCGCGCTCCTCGCTCAGCTCCATGACGGGCCTGCTGCATGCCCGTCCTTCACTGCGCACTCGTGACACCGAGCCTGCCTTGCCATCCATATCCCCAGACGCTCCCTCGCGCTCCTCGCCCTCCCGTCCAGCCCTCCCGCACGCCGCCACCGACCGAGGGCTGGTCCTTCCACGTGTACAGGTCCCAGACCTGGGTTTGGACTTTGACCAGCTGCTCCGCTCAAACTCGCCCATCGACCGACCAGATGCCCACCGCCAGCGCCCGTTGGCTCCTCTGAGTCCGCTGCGGCGCGACGGACGCACCCTCGGCATCATTCCCTCGCAGCGCCGCATACGCAACATGATCGGCCACCAGCGCAGGAGACGCTCGCTCTGGCAGGAGGGCGAGACCATGGACAATGCACAGCAGTTGCGCCAGGGCGAGGATCAGGCAGATGTGCTGTCCAGGCTGCTCTCACTCGCCGCAGCCGCCACCGCAGCCTCGCTCGTGGGTGACGATAACCAGGCTGCCACTCGAGACGGCACTTTTGATACGTTTCTACAGTCGCTTCAAAACGGCAGCATAGCATCGGCATTGCGGGGCAATGAAGATGGTGCAGCTGGTGACACTCCTGGCGCAGGACAGGCGCCGCTCAACTTCTTCCGCATGTTTCGCTTTGGCACGGCTACTGATAGCACAAGAAGTGACAACGACGGGAGCCATGGCAGCGGTTCTGCAAATGGTGCATCGGAAGGCGAAGAAGAAGGTGAAGGCAGAATGGTGCCTATAATTATTGTAGGCATCAGGTCTATACAGCCAGGCAGCGGCACAGGACAAGATGACGCCAGCATACCGCCCTTTCTCGATGCCCTCTCCAGCTTTCCCACACCTCCTACCTCTCCAGGTGACGCAAACATCCTGCAGCCACCACAAAACGGCACTCGCTTCAGCCACCGCCGCCGGGCATCCATGGGCGGCTTCAACTTTCCCTCGAATCACGACGGTCCAAGGCACCACCGCGGAAATGCTCAAGAGCGCCCTCGCCCTTGGTCATCGCTCACAGACTCACCCCCGGGACCTCAACCTCCTCCATCGACACCAGCTACCACCATGAATCTGTCCGCCGGCCCCTCGGGCGCCACCACGCCAAATACGTCTACCTCGCCTCCATCGCCCATCCTCCAGTCAGCCACGCCATCTCGGCGAAACAGCTTTGTTCCAAGAGGTGCCGGATCCACTCTAGAGCCGACCGAAGAAGAACCGCAAACACAGCCGCGCAATGCACGACCCCGTCGCCTGAGCGAATCCGACTTTACACGATACGGATCTGGAGCGCCGCGGAGGAGAGGAGTGGTGGAGCCGGACAATAACCCCGGCGAGGGGTCACGGAGTTGGATCATCTATGTGCTGGGTGGCAGCTACCCGGAAAATCACCCCATCCTCACAACGCCCAGTCTATTCACCGACTCTCCGACGTACGAGGACATGATGCTCCTCTCATCAATACTAGGACCGGCAAAACCGCCTGTTGCAAGTGAGGAGGATGTGGCTTCGGCACCCGGGTTGCTCAGGATCCGGGCGAATGGCAACGTGCTGGTAGCCGAGGCAGTCGAGGGCGAGGAGACGATTGATCTCGTGCCTGGAGCGCGCTGTCTAGTGTGCCTGTGCGACTTTGAAGCGGATGAAGAGGCACGCAAGCTCATCAAGTGCGAACACATGTTTCACAAGATCTGCATTGACCAGGTATGTCTGACTTGGATGTCCCTTTGAATGTCTGGGGATAGAAGATGACTAATATGTTATATAGTGGCTGACTACAGGACGCAACTCGTGTCCGCTATGTCGCGGCGAGGGAGTCCACGAGACGGGCAAGGAGAGCGATGTCGAGCCTAGTGCTACTCCTTCCTCTCCTCCCTCTCCTCCACCGTCGTTGCCGCAAGCAACTGCATGATGGGCTAAAGATTTATTTCGTCTAGAGGACAACTTGCCCGAAATTGTGCTCCTTCTTTCTCTTCATGATATACACATAGAGAGGGAGGGAGTGCACGATTGCTCAGATTCTTGATATATACCCCCTTTTTTTATTTTCCATCTCTCCTTTTCTCATCGTTCTATCTCTATCTATCTCCGTCTGTTTCTTCCCTATCCTGTTAAACGGGGCATTGTCTCTATTTTCTCCAACATCTATATTCGGTCACGGATGTGGGGGTTGGATGGGATGTGAGACGTGAATTTTCTTTTTTTCTATCCACTTGCAAATTTTTTCCTGTCAGGGTTTCATATACGTTGGGAGTGTCATCTCTTTTCTTTTCTTTTTCCCTCTTTTCCCTTTTCGTCATCCTGACATATACGGACAAAGTGGAGTGAATGGAGTCTCTCTAGCTGTTTTTGCATGCGAGTTTTCAGAAAAATCTCGATTGTTGTTTATTTTGAACTGGCATTTTCTGGCATCATGGATGGGGCGTGGCATCTAACTGTATGGTCAAAGGGGAAATACATGGCGTGTGTAAGCTTTTTTGTCATCTCTCTTTTTTGGATTGTCTTTTCATGGAAATGGGTAAGGAGGCGCGGTGGTAGTGGTGGAGGGAGAGAGAAGAGAGAGGAACAGTGTTGGGAGTGTAGGGGGGGGGAGACATTTTCAAGCATGTGAAACGAATTTCCTTGCAAAGTTTCTGGTTTGCACCTTTAACGAAGCAACGGCCGGAGGGAGTGCTAGTAGCGAAGAGAAATGTCGAAAAAGTCCAGCACGGAAAGGATTCGAAAGCAATGTGTTGGAAGGAGGTGATGTGTTGTTGTTGTTGTTGTTGTTGTTGTTGTTGTTTTGGTCCCATAGTTAATGACTAGACTTGCCTATTGTGTCGTGCCATTCTATCTGCCCTCTTACCTTCCTGTCTCTTCACTCTTTACTACCTCCTGTATCAAACTCTCACAGCCCATACTTTTTTCCTTTACGATATTAAACAACACACTCCAACCACTAGTCCCGTACTTAACCTTAAATCCACCTTAGCCTCCCCCCCAAATCCCCCCTTCGCCTAAAAGAAAAGCTAAAGTAAATACTACGGACTACACATTCGTCCGTTCCGTCCATTTTACTCCTCTTTTTTTCTTTATTAAACACACACACCCGTCCATTTAGCCTCGCCTTTTCTCCATGTCCCGACTTCCGACTTCCGACCTTCAATCTCCGCGGAACACATATGCACACGTGGACTTTGTATTGCGCATTTGGGAATCGTAGTCTAAAAGGGTAGCAAAAGTCATGATTTAAGATGAAGGGGGGGGGATTCGTCGAGGAAAAAAAGGGGGAAATAATGGGGATGAACGATGCCGTTGATGATGCTGGTGCTGGCAATCGAGGTGTGCTCTACTATGTACACGGTGCAGGGAATGGCCGGGGGGGGGCATGACGTGGGGTTTTTGGTTTGGTGGGGTTGGGGGTTATTGGTGATCGGGGGCAAGGCATGGAGCAGGGAGAGAGAGATCGGAAAGCGCAAGTTCTGCGTTGACTCGCTGGAGATTTTTTTTGCACCAACCAAGGCGCGGCTGTATGTGTAGATTGGACTAGGGGAGGCATATCGGTGTGAAGTTTGTAGTGGGTGATATTAAAGCTGATGGGGAGTATACTGGCTGTAATATGGCCTAAGGCAGTGAAAGGTCCTTTTTTGGGGCGATTTGGCTTGGCTTTGTGCACTGGAGTTGTGCAGCTGGATGGGGCTTTGCTTGCACTTGTCGTGTCCTGCCCTGTCCTGCGTGCCTGTCCTGCGTGCCTGTCCTGCGTGCCTGCCTGATAATGTATAATGGTGAGTATATTACAATATCAGAGCCCTCATTCGCTGATCGGGTCTACTTGCGGCTTTTTTACTTACCCTTCGACTTGGACCATGTTCTCTTTTTTTTGGGCCCTGGTTTCTTGGCAAAAAGAGACAGGGCCTGTGTCGGTATAACGAAAGATACGTATACGAGTACGGTTTGCTTGATTCAGGGCTAGTGGGAAAGCTTGAAGTCTAATCTCCACCTTTTGGGATGATATCGACATAGCAATTCTATAAATCTAAACTAGTATAGTATATTCACATTCCATATATATAAATATATCTATCGGTACTACCAAAGGCACCGTCAGGACAGGTTGGGGCCGTGTCGGAAATTGCAAAAGGCTGGTTTGGGAAACAAGGACGTCAACAGAGGAGGGGGGGGCCGAATCCCATTGTCAATAGCAAAGGATTTTATGGCGAGGTTCCAAGAAGTGTGCCCTCTGGATGGCAAGCAGCAGCAGACAGGAAAAAAAAGGGCCTGGCCCTGGAGAGCCGCCATGTGGACTTTTTGGTCAGGGCTCTGGCCAGTCAGTTAGTTTGTTCGCAGAGACGGTCCGCGGGCGGCGACTTGGGTGAGTGAGACAAAGTGGAGAAGGGTCGATAGTGGCCATGGCACGGCAGATGGAATATGACGTTTGGTGCCCTGGGCAGCAGACATGTGATGGGCAGATGATGGTGTGCAGGACGACAGAAGGGGTCCTGCAGGAGACCCCAAAGGCCGGATGGTATTGTTTTTTCTCGGTGGCCAAGTTGCTTGTTTGTGGACCGGTGTAGGGAAGAGTGTGTGTGAAGTTGTGGGTGGTGCAGGTCCAAGCGCTTGGAGAGAGGGAAGGCACGATGGGCGAGAAGGGCTGACCCTGTCGACGACACGTGGGGCTGACTGAGTGTGCCGTAGCCGCGGAATTGGAGTGTTCCGACTTGTAACTAACTAACTAATAACCAACTATTCCATCCATCACACACCATTCACGCATTTACACTATGACATGCTCTCACACACACCGACACTGACGCGCTTCATGTGGCGACGCCATGCGCCCGCCTCTTGTGCCGCAGCAACCAGCACCATCAGCACCAGTCGCAGCAGGCTTCCAGGCTGGACCGGCCGGCCGCTCGGTCGCTGGGGTCATGCAAGATGGGCACCATCAGCACAGGGTGCTTGTCGAGCCCGTCAGACGCTGCACACTGACTGCATGCTGCAAATGACAATGCCGTGTCCATGATGCGTGGCGCACGGCACTCGACCACTCAGGGGGCAGCCGGAGCGGCCATTGCGGCATCCGCTGCCCCCGCCGCTTCGGGCCTAGCGCGTCAACGTGACATTGGACGTCTGCTCTCTCTTCAGTGTGTCGCTCTTTGTCCTTTGTTGGTAATCAGCCAGACCAGGCCCATGACGATATCTCTCACCCTAGCCTCCCCATGGTCTGACGACACTAACGAAGTATACTCGACGACCGATATACTCTATTCACGCTGCTCGCTGCTCCAGAGATTCTACTCGACTCGGCCCTGGCCTGCCGTGCAAATTGCACTAGCCGGACCAGAGTGGGCAATTCGGAATCCTCCTCATCATGCCACTTGCCTCCCGCCGCATGCCTACATACAGGTACATATGTACCTAGTTACTACGACTCTTCTATACAAATACACATACACACATACCAAGTCTCCCAAGCTGCACCACTTGCCAGTCTGACGGCCGTCACGGGACTGGGCTCCGGGCTAGAGTTCACGGCCATGTAAGCATGTATGTAATCATCATGTATGTACAGTATGTGGCAGGAAAAGCGCTGCGAGTGGCCAGTCGTTGGCAGTGCTGCCACCTTCTCGAAGCAGCCCTCCTTCTCCCGCCCGCGCGCGCCCTGGTTGAGTCAGGCCCGGTGGCTCCAATATCCACCCGTCTTTTTATAACCACGCACATTGATGAGGCTTGAAAGTCTAAAGCCCGTCCGCCGGGCAATTGCTCTGCACTGCATCGGCCCAATCCCCACTTCAGGCCAGCAGTGGGGGGGGGTCCACGCCAAAGGAAAAAGGGCCCATAGCATGCATTCCTCAGTAACCACTTACTTTACCTCCATGTACCATGCCTGTCCATACCCAACCACAGCCTTACCTACTAGTATACATACGGTCTATACGTACATATGTACATACATGTCTGCATTGGCATCTCGACCTACATACATACCCAGTCCATGTCCATCCACCCATCCCTCCTCCACCCAGCATCCATCCACACCCACTGTGACGACGACCTCGACCTGCAGCACGCGTCGCAATCGCCGCGACGCCACTCACCTACGGCTGACTTGAGCAACGGATGGCATGGGGAGGGGGCAGCTGGGAGAGGGGGGCCCTTTTGGTGCGGGCCCCACCATACCGCCCTCACCACGCTGATGGTGGGATTGGGACGGGGCTGGCGCATATCATGTCCGCCTTGGTGCTGTGTCGTGCCCTTGGCTCGATCCGTCTGCTGCAAAGGCGATCCTCGACCCTCCTTGGATTTGCAATTGCTCCATAGCACGCTCCATGGCTCCATGGCTTGATTACCCACGCCGCCCACCGCCCCGCCCACACTCCCTCCTCTAGCAGCAGCCAGCAGCCGTCACAGCAGCCGCGCGCTGCACGCCTAACAAAAAAATGCCCTGCTCTAGCCGTAGTCCATAGGCTGACAGGCGGGGATCAGCGTCGGGGATGTGTCAAAATGGGCCGCATCTGATGAACTGTACTTAGATGCTCTCTCGTACATGGGCCTACTTATTGCTCGGAGCGGGCAGACCCCTTGGCTGCTCCGCCGCTGGTTGCCCTGCTCTTCGATACCCTCCCCTGCCCTTCCCCCTCCCCCCCAGACTTGAGGTGGCTGCTGTCGGTGGGTGGACCTGTTCGCACGGCCTGGGACTGGCCCAGAGCGATCAGTCCTGGGATTCCAGTGCTGCGCGGAAAGCGGAAGCGTTTGCGTGCACGGCCCACAGCGGCCTGGAGACAGTGCAATGGGCTTGGGGCTTGCTTTTTCCCCTTCACTGCACCCCGGCTTCTCAGATGCGGACGTTTGATGAACCTCAGACTATCCCTTCCTGGACATACACCATTGCTTCTTCCCAGGACTAGACACACGCCTCTGCTCTCGCTCGGGCCGGCTCTCTCGTCTGCCTGTCTTCCTCTGTCCACCGACCTCGCCCTCTTTGCTCTAGCTCCGACCTCTCTCTGTCTCTTTTTCCCAATCTCTCATACCATCTTTCTCAGTTTTATCGCTCTTGCACAACCTTGAAGTTGCGCACCCCCCCTGCTGTGCTTCCTCTCTACCAATACTCATCACTTCCTCCCCCTGTTTATCTGCCCCCCACCACCACCACCATCCCCTCGCCGGCCCCCCCTTTTCTGCTCCTAGATCGGTACTGCATATGCCTCCATCGCCAGCTTTTTCTGGTGTCGCGCAGTCTACCTGGTCCCGTGTGTGGCCATCACTCAGGGTTACCGGAGACGTAGTTGAACCGCCTGTCCTAGCTGCTAGCTGGGGCCTGTACCCGCGCGCCCAAACCAGCCTGCATTAGACTAACCCACGGCTCCGGCAAGCTTGCTCCTACTTCTATATCCTTTCACTTTCCCGTACCTGACGCCCGAGCCATTGTCACACCCGTTGACACGGCGATCGACCTCGGACCCTTGCACCTGAATGACGTTGGTCCTCTTCCTGCAACCACTATCCTCACCAGTCTTCCATCATTGCCACCACCTTGTCTTGCACTCTTCCTCACTGCGCACTCTCTCCCCCCTCGTCCCTCACAAGACATGTCTGGATACTACCCCCCGCCAGGCCACAGTATCCCGCCCCAATACTACAACATCGACCACAACTCCATTCCCAACAATAACAACAACGGCAATAGCAACAACAACGTTCAGCATGCCCCGCAGACGATGATCCCACATGGCTCCTATCCCATGGCCATGCCAGACAACCCCTTCCAACCAGGAGCTCCCAGTCCCTTTGTGCAATACGAAAACATTGGCCAGCCTAGTTATCCTGATCAATATGATGATGCATCTGGCCCCATCGGCTCCGTCCATGCTGCCAACAGCCGCGCGCGTCGCCGACCGGCGCCTGGCGAGCAGGTAAAGCACCGCAGAACACGGAGCGGATGCTTTACCTGCAGGCAGCGTAGAGTCAAGGTATGTGGCCTTCTCTCTACTTGCTCCAAAATAGGCAGCGCGATTGACATGTAGCAGTGTGACGAAAACCACCCCGTGTGCGAGAGTGAGTGCTTGCTTCTGCCTCTGACTCGTTGAAACAGGGCTTGATTTCTGACAGCGTTCACCAGGGTGTCATAAGGGAGGTCGCGAATGCGTATATCCCGACTCACAATCCAGTCAGAAATCTACCCGCAGCGGCTCCAAGTCGGCAAAGTCCTCATCTGCCGACAACATTTCATCGCCCGAGGACCGTGAAGAAGATGCCAAGGAACGTCTGCCTTCCATAAGGGACGAAGATGAGGAAGAAGACTACGTCGACTATGACGACGACGACACGTCAAGAAGCCAAGAAAACCGCGACTCGTCTTACACTCCTGGCTCGTGCCTTGATCAGAGTGTCTCCCCATCGACCGAGGCCTCATCCACTGTCCCGCCCACTGTGCGACCATCACTGTCCCGGAAAGGAAGTGCGCAACCCGCGAAGCCCGTCCAGGGCTCGACCCGAGATCTCCAGTTCTATCTCAACTACTTCCGCAACCACATGAGTGTCCATCACTACTCCCTCAAGCGCGACACACGTGGCTGGCTCAAAGGTGATTTTATGCATTGGGTTATGAAATTTGAGCCTCTCAAATACGCCGTTGCGGGATATGCCGCGTATTTCCATACCCTGTCCCAGCCCGACGGTCGCATATCCACATTCCTCCAGTACTACAACGAGTCGGTCTCGCGCCTGCGGATGGCGATTGAGAAGAACAAGAAGCAGGGTCTTGCTACTTTCTTGACCATATTGCAACTGGCAAGCATAGAGGTAAGGACAACATTGTCGGACTGACGTCACTCTTCTAATAGGATACTAGGAAATGCTTGGTGACTGGGTCAACCTGATGGGCCACCAGAAAGCTGCATTTGACATGCTCACACGCCTCTTCACACCACAGAGCATCACAAAGTCGGATTTCCTGTCCAAGGTACTTCTTTGGTACATTCGATTTGATCTATTCGTTGGCTTCCAATCTGGCGGAGAGGCAACATTGGGCCGAGAATGGTACGAGGCTGCCCACGAATCATACGTCCAAAAGGTCAAGGAGAACCCAGACGACTTGGGTATGAAGTACGAAGAGCGCTTTGCGTATTCCCGGCTGGTAGCAAAGGATTCCAACGATCTTTTTGCAAGGACCGGTAAAGGACTGCTCAGTCCTCAGGAATTCATGACTCAATTGCCCGCGCTTCAAGAAAGAATGGAATCTTTACCGCAAGGCATTCCTCAGGTTTTACTGGATCCAAGCCACAAGGTTCACAGCATCCCTGGAACCCCGGATCCAGACGACATCACCAACCCTTACGAACCAGATGTCATTTGGGGTGGGCCATTGTGGACGACAAATTTCTTATACATGGACATATGGGGCCTCCAGTTCATGTACGCCATATCGTCGTCGATGGCGTTGAAGCAACCCATAGATCCCGAGTACAATAAACTGGCGTTTCGAGCAGTACAGATGTTTGAAGCCATGTGCGCTTATCCAGATGCGCCTCCAGGCGCCCTACTAGAGGCGCAAGTTAGCTTTGCAATTGCCGTCTTGTTTCTGCCTAAGGACCAAAAGACCATGCAGTGGATTCGTCGGACATTTACCAAGATTGAAGCATCAGGGTAAGCACACCTGCAAGGTAGTATGGTCGTGTGATTCATTATGCTTACATGGCTCTAGATACATCTACTCTGACGTTCTCCGTAACCGTATGCTTGAATCCATGGGGGCCCCGCCATCAGATTGGTGGCTCCCCGACGACGAAGGGTGCCCCCCTATCATTCGCTCAATCAAGGACTTTATCAAAGACCGCACACAGGCGCCAAAAGATCAAGTCTCCGAGGACTTGCGCGAGATGCGCGGCATTTTCAATTCCCTCACCATATCCGACTCGCCGACGTCTGACAATATGACGGTCACGAGTGCCGACGGCTTGGGCTCTGCATACGGCTCTCCGGATTGGCCATCGGGCTACGGAAGTGATCGGAAATCGTCCATCGCGGAGAGCTACTCGCCTGGCGTACCAAGGCAATACTCTGTACAGTAACGTGGCTTACTCGCATGAAGCTACCTGCGCTATGAAGACGCTTGCAATGAAGAAATTGGGAGGCGCATGTTCTGTTGGTACCAAAAGACGCTTATCGGTCTGCCCATGTCTCTTGATGCAACGCCTGTGTATATCACAATAGAGGACATGTTCTACCTGAAACACTCTACTCTTCTGGTCTTTCCGGAGTTGTACCGCCGGTGACGTCTCCCGAGAGGCGTCCTGTCACACACTGACTGGCAAGTGCAACTGGGCTTGCGTGGGTGAGACGCAATGGCTTGCCTTGGTATCACATCTCAGGGCCACGATCCCCCCCGGGAAGCTCACTACAGAAAAGGAAGAATGGAGCGAAAGCGGGGTCCACTTATGTGGTGTGACTGCTGCAGGTCATGCTGGGGCGCACGTTAGTTTTAACATCGGACGGCGATCGGGTGTTGGAGGTTCCCTACCTACCAGAATGCGAGTACGAAGAGGCCAAGCACCATGTACATGCATGGGCATGGACATAGACATGGAAAGTTTATTCACGGGCATGAGGAGGATGACTCGCGCGGCGGATGGCAGTATGCGCAGAATCTGGATGCAAGGGCTTAAGATGCCTCCACATGTGGTCGCCGTTTATGGAGTGCGAAGGGCTGTGAGGCATTTGCACGGCATCAGTAACCGTGAACAACCAAAAGCGGATTGATGAAGGATTCAAAGTCCCAAGCTTGCATGTGATGACTACTAATGACCCATGGCTTTGTGTTTCTAGGAATCCAGGACATCATTCATGGCGCAATTTCTCCTACTTCTTACATGGCATCGCATCCAGCTGCAGAGTGTTGATCGGAACTGCTTTTGGTCAGCAATGCAGTTTCAGGCATTTGCGTGCAGTTTACATGACTCCTGTATCACTCCCTGCTATAGGGTAGTGGTGGTGAGACAACCAGTGGGGCCGAATATGTATACGTTTCCCCTGTGGCGTGCTGATCTTTTATCGATGTGTCTTTTTTTTTTGAACAGGCATCTTTTAGCGGAACTCACAATAGCATGCCATGCTGAGTAGGGGATGGTCTTCTTTTTATGAAGCACATACGTACATGACGATAACCGAGTATACTCTTGTGAGAATAGTGTCAAGATTCAGATGAATACTTATTCAGATTCTCTGTCTGAAATTATACACATCCCAACCTATGTATCGAAGAAAAACACATGCATTGTAGAGGTATTTGTCCAGACAAAGGGTTGATATGGTCCCAAACAGGACTAGTGCAATGCAGGGTTCATGCGCCGCCCTGACAGCAACGGCGGCGGAGAACACATGAAAGTCGTAAGAGCACGACAACAGCCACGCCCCGCCCTCGACAACACCCACGAACAGAGTCTGGATATACCGTAACCCCGCTACACCGCAATGGAAAACCTTGGCAAGATTTCGGCGTTCGGAAAGAACATTTCGTACGTACAGCCCCGCGCCCCCCTCGCTGCTTACTTGCACCCCGGCACCAGATAGGAACACTTGGACTGACACGGTTGCTACAGCGCTACCTTTACCCCCTGGGCTGCCCGAACACAGCAATATGTCAAGGAGCAGGTTGGCAATGTCGAGGACAAGGTGCGCAGCCTCCCGATTGAGTTCTCGTAGCACCTCACAAGGGCATCCGCGCTGTAGCAAAGTGCACTATTAACACGGCTCATGACAGACTCAACTGCCCCCGGATTACATTGAGCTCGAGAAGCGAGTCGATGCGCTGAAAAAGGTGCACACGACTATGCTCCAGGTCACGTATGACGCCCCGTATCCCGCCCTAGAAACCATATCCTGACTGCCTAGTTCACAATACGCAAACGAAGCCTACGACTACCCAGCCAACATCCGCGAGTCCTTCAACGACCTCGGCCGAACCGTCGCAGAAAAGGTCAATCTACTCTCGAGTGCCACCTCCCCCGCCGAAGCCCAGGCAGCTCTTACTGCCCCTCCCTCCGCAAAGCCCCAGCCCAAGACTTTCAGCCATGCTGTTGCCCGCGCCGCCCTGAATGCCTCGCACATGCTCACCTCTGAGCAAACATCTTCAGGCGAGGACCCGCTCGCTACTGCCCTCGAGAAGTACGCCATTGCCAGTGAGAAGGTTGGCGAGGCACGTCTGGCGCAGGACGCTCAGATTCAGAGCCGCTTCTTGGCTGGGTGGAGTACCACGCTCAACACCAACATTCAGTTTGCCACACGTGCCCGCAAGGCTGTCGAAAACTCGCGACTGACACTTGATGCGACCAAGGCCAATGCCAGGGGACCTGCTTTTACTCTCCCTGGTCAACCCGCCAAGAAGGACAATCTTGATGATGATTTGACAGAGGAGGCAAGGGCAAAGATTGAGCAGGCCGAGGACGAGTTTGTTGGCCAGACTGAGGAGGCTGTTGGTGTGATGAAGAATGTAAGTTGTGAAGCTGTTTTGGTCTGAGATATACAAGTACTGACCTGTTTCTCTTTTTTCTTACAAACAGGTCCTCGACACTCCGGAACCACTCCGTAACCTTGCTGACCTCATTGCTGCCCAACTCGAGTACCACAAGAAGGCATACGAGATCCTATCTGAGTTGGCACCTGTTGTTGAGCAACTGCAGGTTGAACAGGAGGTGCGTAGACACCAGTCGTCTGACTTTTAAGTCCCCCCTTAGCTGACGCGTTGTGGTGATTAGGCCAGCTACCGTCGGGCTCGTGAGGAGTTGTAAAGTGATGTTGATTTAGGGGGTGTTGATGAGATTGGGGAGGGTGTGGAAGTTGGGGTATGGATATATACAGTGTGATGAAGGGGAGATTGTCTCGGTATTGGCTTTTGTCCAGAGCAGGATCTCATTGCCAACAGAGTATGGTTTAGTAGTCTTGGTCATGAATGAGTAGTCGTATTATGACTTTGGAATATTTTGCTTCTCTTCTTCAATTATTTACCAATGTTTTTTTTTACATGCTTGCTCTATTCAATAACCCCACTCTCATCCCTAAACCCAGCAGCCTGCCTCTTTGCAAACTCGCCCACCCCTCCTTCCTCTCCGCCCTCTTCCTCACCACCATTATCCTCGGGAATAAACCCCCTCATAAAATCCCTCACATACCCCTCCGGCACCCCACACCTGACGGCATCCTCAATCCCCCGATTCATCCTATACACGTACTCCTCCCTTGGCACCCCCTCTGTAACTCTCTTCCGATCAATATACACCAAAACCGACTTTTCCGTCTCGCTGGGCGGCCTTGTCACATCGATTTTGCGGTCCGAAGTGCCGGCCCAGAATGTACAAGGGAGGTGTTCTTTAGTGTAAGCGAGGGGTACGCCTTCGTTTTTGTCGAGGTGGTGTTCGTCGGTGGGTGTGAGGGAGAAGATGAGGCCGTAGACGTGATCGGAGGGTGTGGCTGAGACAATGTTGGCGTAGCCCCGTTCGTTGATGATCCATTTGTAGGCGTCGAGACGGGCGATGCCGAGGTAGGCGGACGAGGGGCAGCGCGTGGACATTTGGTGTAGCCAGAGGTTGGAGCCGTAGCCGAAGTAGAGGGTTGGGGGGGAGGAGGTGGCGGTGGTGGACATTTTGGGAGTGTTGGGCGATACTGCCTTTTTTTTTTTGACTTCTCCTCTATGAGAACCGTTGAATGTTTACGAGAATCCTGCTTATTCGAATAACTGGTGGATGCCACAGTTACAGGAAATGGGATGTATTTTTTTCCCCAATGGCAGCTTAGATTCATACACGAATTCTAGTATGATTCTCTTTTTTTTTGGTAGACTACTAGATGTGACGGCTGTAGCGTATACTCCGGCTCAAGGACCGGATTTTCACCAGGCACGCGGGGTCATCTATCAGAGTCTGGTTATGATTAGCCATGGATACATAGTACTGGCTCACAACTTCCTCGTATACCTTGAAACTTTGTTGTTGACTCGAAATATTTGGTACAACCATACCCCGGATTGCAACACGGTCACGATACATGAGTTGATGTGGCACGGTAGTTGGATACCTCGGGGCGATGTCAACCCACATGCCGAAGGAAACCGACGAATCGGCGTTGAAGGATTACACCACGCTCCTCTTCGCGACAGCCACCATATGCGGGAAGAGACGCGAGACACGGCTAGCAAGTACGCGGCTGTTTTGTAAAAAAAAAAAAACAGCTATATCAGGTCGTCTCTGTCACGTTGCATCATGTTGCGCAGTCTTTAGTCCGGTGGCGTTGATAGGAGAACGCTGTCTTTGTTTGGCGCAGCGTCGAGTCACATTTTACAATTTTCCCCAACCCCAAGAAAAGGTCAACAGCGAAGATATAAGCCCAACATGCCATACTCACATCACAGCCACTCTGGCCAGTTCTGTAGCCATGCAAAGGACACGCTCGAAGAGGTCATTCAGGCAGCCATAGCCAAAGGGTTCCATACCTTTGCGCTAACCGAGCATATACCCCGGCCAATCGAAGACTTCTACCCCGGAGAAGCTGAGTCGTACACGGTTGAGAGCCTTGCCAAGCTATTCGACGACTTCATTGTCGAAGCAAACCGGCTGAGAGAAAAGTACTCGAGCGAGATAGAGATTCTGATTGGCTTTGAATCAGAATGGATTCGTCCGTCGACCCTGGAGCTGATTCGGAGCGTCCGCGAAAAATATCCGTTTGACTTTTTCATGGGCTCTGTCCACCACGTGCATACGATTCCCATCGACTACGACCGCCAGACGTATGAGCAGGCTAGGGACAAGGCGGGCGGGACCGACGAGAGGTTGTTTGAGGATTATTTCGATTCTCAATGGGAGATGCTACAGGCGCTGCGGCCCTCCGTCGTCGGGCACCTCGACCTCATCCGTCTGCTGAGCGATCATCGCGACGATGGGTTCAAAGGCATGGCTGGTGTTTGGCAGAAGATTGAGCGCAACCTGGAATTCATTGCTTCATATGGCGGTCTGCTCGAACTCAACTCTGCCGGGTTACGCAAAGGTCTGGCCGAGCCGTATCCGTGCTTGCCAATATGTCAGGTCAGTCACACCGCCATCTGCCCGAGCTCGGCGGCGAGCTGAGCTTGAAACTGACTTGGGGGGGTTTCGTTTATAGATGTTCGTTCGGATGCGAGGCGGTTTCGTCATGTCTGACGACAGCCATGGAATCGATCATATTGGCACAAACTATGCGCGGCTCCTTGCCTTCATCCAGACTGTAGGGACTGACCGCATGCACTACATCGAGCGGGCCGAGCAGGGCAAAGGCACCACCACCACCACCACTACCACCAGCACTCGCGTTGCCAGCATTGCTCTGACCGACCTGGTGCAGTTGCCGTTTTGGGAAAAAGCAACGTGAAGTTGGCTTCGTCATGGGCCGACTTTTTGGTGCGCCGCTGACCAAGGGCGAGGGGGGGGGAGGGGTTCGCTTCTTGTGCTGAACGTTGCGGGTCTTAGGACCGGAGCAAATAGCCTTGCGGAATCTTGTGCAACGGTGGTTTTAGGGTAGTGGCTACGTTTACCAGCAATGCGTAACCTTTTGATTGGACATTGTTGGAGATGACAATCGTCGTCGGCTCGTATTTGGTGCCCTGGCTACAAGTAGTTTAGCAGCTATACTGTAGCTTGAGTTTGGCCACGTGCTTAATGTTCACGATGCTGCACTCCATATGCGTGGGGGTGATCATTTCTCCACGACTCAGCCGCCACTGCAAGCGTACCTCGTCTAGCCAATACAAACTGTGCATTGCTCCCGGACCGTATCGTTGGGCTCCCGACTCAGCGCACAGGGCTCAAGATCGTCTTGTCCGAAGGTTACAAGGCGGGCTGAACAAGGCCATGGCAAAGGCACGGTCGAAAAGACCACGTGTAATGGCTATGGCAATTGCTCCTCAGCCCCACGCCACCCGTGCCTCGTTTCTTTTTTTCTCTCGCCCTTCCAGGGATGTCAATTTCGCGTTTGCCGCGAGAAGCACGATAGCCCGCTGCTCCGCATTTGGCTGTCTTTTTCCAACGCCAGACGCTAGGAGTACAAAACATGATTGTTCCCCGGGGTGGGTCTAGCACCGCACGGCATCCGGCAGTGCTGCCGCTTCTACTGTGATTGGCAAATCTCCAGAGACATGCCACCCGCGAGATGATTAGGGTTTGTTGGGCCCCTTGGCTTTACGGTTTTCGACAAAGGGATTTTTTTTTTTGGGGGGGGGGACGGCACATGGGCGCGGGGGGTCAAATGCTAAACAATGATGACGAGACCCATTGTGTTCGTCACCACAGGCTGTGAGACATTCCAACGCTGGATTCATGAGGCCATGGGGGGGAGGTTGTTGCGTTAGTTATTGGACTAGTCTAGTATACGTAAGTAATACGGCCAGTCGCCCCGTGAAATGGACCGAAGATTGCTTTTTAGCAAACGGTCCTGCATTTTCCCTAAATCCATGTTTAGCCTTGTTCACTCTGAATCTACTAGAATACTACAAGACGGCCAGTTGCCTTGTCGGGCCTTGAGTAGTCAGGGGGACTCGCGTTGGTGCGGGTTTGGCTGCCGAATCACATCCTATACAAGTTGCGGTAGTAGCTTATTCGTCAATCACTTAGCCCTACGGCGTTTATATGCGCTTTTCCTTTTTGCTCACGTCGTGCGACTTTCTGGAGAGGTACAGTGTCGGCGTTTTTTTTCCTTGCGTATCCCTCCGTTCCTCCATGCGGGATTAAGGTTTTGGAGTCGTGCCGTGCATTCGTTTGTGACGAAGGGCGTCTTCGTGGTGACAGTCGACCGCACGTCGCTGCCTTTGAACAATTGTACGTAGCCTTGCACCCCCACTAAGGGTAACCCTTTGTCCCCACCCTTGCTTCCTTTTGCTCCCACCATCCTAATAGGTCACGTCCTCAAGATCCATTCCCTTATCCCACCATGGCCCAAAAATAATTTTCAATGTCTTGCTTTTTTTTTTGCCTTCCGCGTGGATGCAGGGTCAGCCGCCGCATCGCAGGGCAAACGGCCGTGTTGCAAAGCTGTCATGCTGCTCGGTAGTCGCGGGAAAAGTTGAGGAACGGGTACAACCATCGACCATGTTAGATGTGGAGCCCACATCGCGTGTCAGCTAGGATGTTGCAGATGACGAACGCATTCAAAGGGCTAGACCAACCTTACAAACTTCTGACATCCAAAACGGCTCGAGCGTCGGGTAGGATTCCCCGGGAGACAGTCAGGTTCTGATGGCGGCTGTGGTTCGTAGCCCACAATTATCTTCGAGCCGAAGCTGTGGAACGGATGCGTATGCGAAGGGGGGGCTAAAGGATATGCTCGACGGATCGGAGCAGGCCAATCTATCCCATAGCTGTCCTGCAAACCCCCGGACTGCTTTTTTTCTTGTCAAAGCAAAGACCATTCATTAAGCCTAAGCTTTTTTGCCAAAGCATACACGGAGCATCTTCCTTAAAGCACCACCACGCCTTGCGCCTGCTATTAAATCTTCCCCTTGTCCACTTCCTCACGCACTTTTTGTTTTCCGCACTCCTCTAGCTTCCTTTTTTTCTCTTCTCCATCATATCTGTCATAAACTTGACCAACGTTCGACTTTTTGTTCACGCTAGCATCCCGCCCGTTACAACATACTTGCGCCTCCAACGCCACACACAAGCATAGCACATTCTTTCTACACCATGGGCGTCGAGAAGATTGTTGCCAAACCAGGCAATGGAACAGACTTCCCCAAGAAGCACGACGAAATTTGCGTTGAATACACCGGTATTGCTGCTAGCATTCACACGTCAATGCCAAAATCTAACCAAAGGTTATTAGGATGGTTGTACGATGACGAGGCACCAGACAACAAGGGAACACAGTAAGTAGACTGGCAACGTGGACGCCTTCACATGGACTTGGAGCATCCTGCTAACCAAAATGCTAGATTCGACACATCAGTAGGCCGGGGCGATCTCACGACTCTAATCGGCGCAGGTCGAGTCATCCGAGGTATGCGCCTTGTAATCCCAACCAGCCCGCTCCATACATGCCAAATGGCAAATTGAGGTGTGCACGTCAACTGACTCCAACATGCAGGCTGGGACGAGGGTATCTTGGGGTCCGAGGATATTCCCCCCATGTCGTTGGGTGAGGTAGCAATCCTCAAAATCACATCGTAAGTAGCTTTTTTGCGGGTACACACCACTTGCATGTGTTTTTTTTTTGGCTAACACCATGTGTAATACAGTGATTATGCTTATGGCGCTCGGTAAGTCCGGTTTGTGAACTTCATACTTGATGGGCTCGACTGCGGGATCAACCCGAACGACCGGCCTCCCACGGCCGCAGAAGCGGCCGAACACATGCCACGAGGTTCGGAGTCCGGACAAATACTTCAACACTTTCGTTTTTTCTGTGTATCCCAAAATCAACATACCGCTGTAGCCGCCAGTATGGCTTGACTAGGATATCACCAGCCTCCAATTTTCTTGTCTCACGAGCGATCGCTAACTGTCCTGATCACAGTGGTTTTCCAGGACACATCCCCGCAGATGCAAAATTGATCTTGTAAGCACCCAATCTTTTTTTATTCTTTTATCATCTCCGGGAGAGTCTCCGCGTCCCCCAAAACGCCTATCTTCGTGGTGTGTCTGGCAACTGCGTTGTTCGCTTGACCAAACGCACAGCTCACCTTCCGTCCCTCTACCCATGTCACCCATTACGGCAGAATTGCTGGGGCATCGAATCAGACAAACTGACGAAATGACAGTGAAGTTGAACTCAAGTCCATCAACAGGAAAGGGGAATAGATCGCTGGTCCTCCTTTCCCCGATACAACGTTTTACGCCGCCCTTCTTCACCACTCTTGTTCGACATATACCCCGTTACTACCCGACCCATTTTTTTTTCGGCCTGCCATACCCTCAACCCATTGTAACCTTCTGGAACGACTCTAGCGCCCTCCTCTTGCATCATGTGCTTCGTGGGGAGGGGGTTGGAAGAGAAAGGAGCTTTTGCGCGCTTTATGCGGCAATCACGGCCAAAAAGGTTTTAATATCTGTTTTATTTTGTTTTGTTTTGTACACGATCATTTAACGCAAATATGCCTAATTCCTTGGCCCCCTCCCGGCTTAGGAGTTTTTGGTGATTGGATAAAAAGCAAAGCTCATCTCGTTCGGCAGGGTGTATAATGCTAAGCAAATTTCCATTGTAGATGGGGAGGGCTATGCATGCAAACATGGGGCTGCCTGCATGTATAGATTTGTTTCCAAGAGCAGCCCAGCGTTCTAGTTCTTGAGCCCTGATGGGTTTATGCATTTACTTACTGCGTAAATAGGCTAGACTTTCGCTTTCTTCATCCCATAATCTTGGTTTTTTGCAATATCCTTTTGGTCGGAAATTCTTCTTTTTTCCTGCTTCATTCTAGTATTAGCGCACATTGTATAGAGCACGATCTATGGCGGATGGTTTCCCGCACGTAGTCCCATCATTTTTTTTTGTTTCCAAATACCTGGAATCCAATAATGCTAGCACTGTCTCAGACTGTTCTACTCCATCTCTGTAACCGAAGTCCCCTAGGACCCCCAAGACTTACAGCCGGGGCCATATAAGAAAAAAGACTCAAAGGATTCCGCCCGTCTGGTATGCATGTAAGTGTAGGCTACGTCTGACGTCGAAATCTGACGGACGCTGATTCTCGGCTGAAACCAAGGCAACCGATATAATCCCATAACTATAGTGCACACCGACACTCCGTCATCTCGAGTCCTCACTGGTCGGGTGCTGCCGAATCTAACCACACAGTCTTACATCGGCATACCGAGGCTTGGCCTGGAGGACTCGGGAGCCCACACACGCTCCTGTTGGGTGGCGGTAGAGGCGGCTTGCGCATAATCCGGCAGTTATCCTGCTGTGTAACCGAAGCATTCAGCCTTGGCCCATAATATTTTATACTCGACTAACGCGGTATTCCCGCAACCTCGAAGGAGGACCGTTCGCCTAGTACCCGTCTGCCCCCCTCCCCCCCCCAGATGGCCAAAGTAGGCTGCCTATTTAATTGTGGCTTGCAGCAAAGCCCGCCAGACGAAGAATGCTCCTATTCGCTGCTTCTTTGCCCGATGCCGTGCATGTTGGGCTCAATGATAAACTTTTTTTTGGATGACGCTATTTACTTGTGCATCGCGATATCTCATGGAGGATCTGGCATATGTATCTCTAGAGTGTCAGCGTCATCATCATCAGTGTTGAATGTGACGCTCGTCTAGACTAACATATGACCCGGATGCATGAAGGAGCTGATGGGGCAACCAAGTATAATTGGTCCGTTTCAAAAGTGCATTATCAAAGTACCCATTTGCTCACCGGCTGCGGGCCGTTGCCGTTCCACACACCCACACACACACACACACACACACACACACTCACTCCTCTCTCTATCTTATGGCTTTTCCCGTCAGCATCGGGAACGGGGACGGCTCTCTAGTTCTTACATGACTTGCAAAGAAAGGAAACGAGCTCCGACAACAAAAAGCGGGATATGTTACGATATTCTGTTCTATTGCGGACACAGCTGCATAGACCACAAGCCTAGAACGTTTCTCTTATGCTCGAGCGGACTGGTCTCCACGCGGGAAGGATCTTCCACTGGGGCCAGAAAGTGGGTGAACAGGAGCGTACTGTTACGTAGTCATCCTTGGCCAAACCCGGCGTCTTGGAAATTTTTGTAACCCCATTTGCGAAAACATGACCCACCCGTCCAGCATATATATACATATTTTTTTTCTGTAGGATCGCCGAAGCGGTCGTTTAGAAATATATAACAAAAAAAAAGAGATCGGGTCAACCTGTCGCTTTCTTGCCCGAGTTCTGGACCGAAAATGTTTACTAAAAAGCGGTGGTATTGGGCCCATGCAAGGTGGAGCATAATGCAATGTGACATGCAATTGCGTGCATAGGAAAACGCGCACATGGGATAGTACTAATGAAATAAAAAAGAACCCCCATGTCGATTGCCTTTTCCTCGCGCGCGTCACCCAGCCAAACTTGAGTTCTGCTAGGATGTACCCACACGTGGTAGGATGGGCCAGGAAAAAAAAAACAGAGTTACAAGGTATACTTTGTGGGAACTTTAATGGTTTGTTCAAAAAGAGTGACGTTGGAGAGGGGGCGAGGGTTCGTGCTTTAGTCGAGCCAGGGCAAACTTGCATCACACGTCTTGCATGGGTCCCTCTACGCATACGCACACCCCTTTGGGATATTCATTTTCTCGTCCTTCTCAATCATGCCGCACTAACATCTATCTTCTGATCATGCGACTCCGCGGCCAACAAAAGGCATAAGCCCCTCCTCTTGTATATACGCCGAAGTTCCTAGATTTTTTTTGGTGGTCGCGGCCCAACCTCGTTTATCGATTTTTAAAGTAGCGTCGGTCGCATTTTCAACATTACTGGTCGTTGTTGGCCAGTGAGCGTCTGCTTGTCTACATGCAGTGGCGCGTATTTGTACCGTTTAATGCGCCGCCACGTACCTGGAGCCGCTCTGTCGGGCCAACCATGCGACCTTGTGGATGGTACAAGCAAGTAGCAGAGGCTAGATATGGTGGGTCGGTAAGCGCGGTAACAGCCCTCGAGTCAACAACTTTTGTAGACTATCTCATATGACGGCTCGTGTGTATGGAGCTTTGCTAGCGTTGACTCACGACGACATCGTAGACGGAGATCCTCATTCTTCTCTTCTGGCGACGTAAGCTCTTCAAGGGAACAATCGAGATGGAAATGAATCCTGCGATGGGATCCTCTTTCTAGTTAGTCTCGAATAGTTCCCCAACCGATATGTGGGATTGAAGATCGCGTGCTTGCAGGAAGTCTGGCTCGCGCCACCAAAACCATGTATGCAAGCACTTGATTCCTACAGCCTCGTCATGGTTCATCTCTCAGATTTCGAATCAAAAAAATCTTTGAGTGTGACATGCTGGATTTACAATTCATCTCTTATCTCATGCCAGTGTCCTCTACCTGAGACTGGTGGCCTTGAACCAATGTCTTTACCTTGAAAGTTTATTGTTCGACTATACCGCTATTGGAAGGCATTCGTCTTGATCTACTTTGAAAATTGCTTTTGTAGTCGAGCGGCATAATTACGCCCGAATATTCATGGTATGGTCGCGTGCTTGAGGTGCATTAAGCATCTGGAGACTAAAAGTTGATATCGGGGGTCACCAGAATGAGGAAGAGAGACACGTCAGCAATCTGGCGGGTAGAGCGTTACGACGGGCGGACGGGCGGAATGATTGTTTGGTACTTGTTGGGAGCGGATTCGGCGGCTATTGTCTGTTGTGCTTCATCTGTGGCACCCCACTACGACGAGCTAAGCATGATATGTCCAACCCACACAAAATCCTGTAGCTGATCTTTCTGGTAGGAAAATGAGCAGGTGACAAGCTCATCTCGTATTAATATGACCGGTAGGCATACGCTGAAGAAAGAGCCATATCGCTGTGAGTAGGTCTGTAGGACGCTTTCAGACAATTTGATTACTCACGAGTTGATCACAATCTGTTCAAGTTGACGTCAGTCTGTTCTGCGTAACCTGTCAATCACATGTGAAGGGACGGCAGGATACTCAATAGCGGATAAAGTTTTTGAATGACATCTGCACAAGACAGAACAAGAACACTACCCCTGAACGTCAGAAAGCCGTGAGTTCCCGTCAACGCCACAACGTGGAGAAGGAACCTTGATTCTTTCTATTCCAGAACTTGCTTCTCATACGAGTAATGTTGGTTGCCTGAGCCACGATGAGCCACAAGATATACGCAACGATAGGCTCGTGCTTCCCTTAGCTTGTTTCAGGCGGTTGACATCAGTTCTCGATTCTGTCATGTTCCAGAGGATATGCTTCTAGATGTGCACAAGTATTCAACAATGTGTTCGCTCAGGAGTGGAGTTTAGTTCTGGTTGCCATAGGAGGGTCGTGGTTGTGTTTTCTCCATACTTTATCGACGATACAAAAGGCAGCCTTGCGACCTCCTGGGTGTACTCCAAAGATCTGATGTTCTCCATGTTGGCTTTACTGGGATGAATCAAGAGGTCGAGTTACTCGATAATAGTGTCGAAATTACACCGGTGTTCGAGGCTATCGCAATGTGTCGCTTGAGCGACCGTGGAAGGCGTTTTGACAGAAGGAAGCCACTAGCTTGGTCTATACTGTACTATAGTGTCGTTGTGTAGGTCTCAGCATAGCTTTGCTTCTTGAACCAGCGCCGTGAAAGACGTTGTGCTTCCGCTGTAATATTAGAATACGCTGCTTAATCTTTATTTGGATTGAGCCATAGATAGCATTGCCGTGCCCCGGATACTCGACTCAAAGATCACCTCTCTTCGGGCAAAGTTCCACTTGCCTAGAGCTGAATGGTGTTAGCACTAGCGGACGTAGAGCCCCTGACAACCAGCAACTCGTAACCTAGAGGGATACCATTGTGCTCAAGAATTATGCCATGCACAAATACGGTTTCATAGGACTAGACGACTCAGGTGTTAGAATCTTCGTGTAAGAACAAGCCGAAAGAAGATTTGCAAGGGAAAGATATAGGAAGGCGGTCGTGTGTGAACTTGGCACAGGCGGCTGCTCAAAGGTAGTCGAATCGTGAAGAGTATGACTAGTAACAGTCACGTGACCATTGAACGTGCCTGGCTGCACATAGTACACATGTACTTAAGCACTCTGTAGCATCGAAACTCCCTCGATTATCCTGGCAGAAACGAATTAAACTATGCAATAACATAGCTTATTGAAAAGTCCGCCTGCAACA